GGGACGATGTAAATGAACCTATTGGTGCCATCTACAAAAAATCCCGTGCACGTTTTATTTTAGAAACAGATCAACTCTACTCTCTCACGTAAATGAACTGTTAATTTCAGCAAATGCGCCGGACATTGCACACATTTGATGGCATGGATAGGTTGACTTTGTCACATGTGGTCTCCTTGTAGGCATGTATCTTCATAAGTCGTAACTATATATCGCAGCAATGGGACAATCCTTTCGGGAGGTTTGATCCTGAGTTAGACTAGTTTCCCTGCCCCCAGTTTTTGGCCTACACCGCTTACATTTTTGAATGTTTTCATTTTGAAAACCCACCCTTGCTCCGTACTGTGTTGACTGTAGGCCTATGTATCTCTAGCTATTGGTTATGTACGGAGAGGATTGTAAGCCCTTCTCCCAACTCTCCCCACCCCTTCATCCCGCGGGCCTAAAAATGAGATAGGACAGTATCTTTTGTATTCATTTAAAAAGCAATCACATGCCTGTTCTCTTACGATATGCAAGCAAGTAGGCCTATACAAGTATTCCAATTATTTTCTTGCTAAATACATGTAAGCGTCATGCAATACATGATCTATTCAAGGGTTGGATCACGTGATGTGTTGCTAAATATAAACACGGCAGGTGCAGAAGTTAAAATTAAAAGCTCGTAAACAGTTCAACGACGGTTTGACTTATTGTAGATCTACTGCTAAATTAGACCTAGACCTTAGTAACACGAAAACTTCAGTTGGCGGACTGACTTACTGTAGTAGACTTACTGTTTACTGTGAAAAGTTTGCGGGCTGACTTACTCGGAACTTACTGTAGTGACCTACTTGTTACTTTGAAAAGTTTGCGGACTGACTTACTGTAGTAGACCTACTTGTTACTTTGAAAAGTTTGCGGACTGACTTACTGTAGTAGACCAACTTGTTACTTTGAAAAGTTTGTGGACTAACTTACTGTAGTAGACCTACTTGTTACTTTGAAAAGTTTGTGGACTGACTTACTGTAGTAGACCTACTTGTTACTTTGAAAAGTTTGTGGACTAACTTACTGTAGTAGACCTACTTGTTACTTTGAAAAGTTTGTGGACTAACTTACTGTAGTAGACCTACTTGTTACTTTGAAAAGTGTGTGGACTGACTTACTGTAGTAGACCTACTTGTTACTTTGAAAAGTTTGTGGACTAACTTACTGTAGTAGACCTACTTGTTACTTTGAAAAGTTTGTGGACTGACTTACTGTAGTATACCAGCTTGTTACTTTGAAAAGATTCCGGACTTACTGTAGTAGACCAACTTTTTGATTTATTTGATCCCAGCCCTAACCATGACAAGTATAGCTGTTTTACCCTACGACAGCGCTTCTCATTCAAACAAAACAACGGTAAAACATTAATGGGCGAGATTGGGTAAACAATGTAGGGAAGGGTGGGGGTGGGGGGTGCTATTAATGGGGCGACGGGGTAGGACACTAAAAGGACGGGGAGGGGATATTTATACAGTGTATTTCGGTTCAACACACTAGGAGAAGGCCTATATCCTTCTTCATATGTTTTGTTTAGGTTATACAGATTCACTACTACCTCTATCATTCGCGATTGTCAATGTGAGCAATACATAAGTCGACTCGACCTATACGCCTATGTTATTTCATACTCGTATAACTAGTATCACTGGTAACCTTACTTTAACCCCCAAAATAAACCTAACCCTGAGGGTTAGAGAACGCGTGTTGTCTAAAGCCTAACCCTCAGAATTAGAGTAGGTTTATTGTTGAGTTGAAAGCCTAACCCTCAGAATTAGGGTAGGTTTATTGTTGAGTTGAGAACCTAACCCTCAGAATTAGAGTAGGTTTATTGTTGAGTTGAAAGCCTAACCCTCAGAATTAGAGTAGGTTTATTGTTGAGTTGAAAGCCTAACCCTCAGAATTAGGGTAGGTTTATTGTTAAAAGCCTAACACTCAGAATTAGAATGGCTTATTGTTGAAAGCCTAACCATAAGTTAGAGAACGTTTATTGTCTAAACTCTAACCCTCACAGTTAGGGTAGACTCATCCGCCCCATATGTGTGGGTACATTGGAGCAGAGTTTCTTCCAGGCATCTCTTCAGGGGGGGGGGGGGGGGCGAAAAAAATTCTACCGCCCCCCCCCCACCTTCCGAACGAAATGACATTTATATAATTTATATTGAAAATATATACTTTTTACAGTGTCCGCCCCCCCCCCCCGAAGAAAGTCTACCGCCCCCCCCCCCCCCCCCCCCCCCCGCCGAAAATTTCAAGTGACCCCCCGGAGAAAAAAGTCTGGAAGAAACACTGCATTGGAGTCTCGATTATTAAATTATTCTAGCATTTATTTTCTGTTCCTCCATCTTAAGGCTAAATACCTGTTACAAATCTCCCAAAGACGAATGTTCAGTTCATAGAATATGTAAATTAAAATCTAAATTGTCAAAAAATAAAGCGTCTTTGAGAATCCATCATGCGTGAACTAGTGTCGCATATAACGGTATATTCAACCTGTCTAGTACGTCAAAGGTTGTTTTTTTTCTTGGTATAACATCGTCAGTTTTCTTTGTTGACTGGGGCTATGTAATCGTTTGTGAATTGATAATGTGACTGGGTTTTCCAGCTTTACGTCTTTTAGAAATTGAGGCATTAAAAGAAGCGAAAAAGAAAATAAATTGAAGTATTTGACTAGGTAAACTCGCTATTCAGATTAATTGATTTTTTTTTTATAGCTTAGTGTAGGTTTTTTTTTTTATGTCATGGTCACGCAATAACTGGCTGGATTCGGGAAAGTCATTTTGTTAGCGGACACTTTTAGAAAGGTCATTTAGTTAGGGGCTAGCTTCAACAATGGGCTATTAAGCTAATGGTGCATTTTAGAAAGATATTGTAATTCAGGAAGAAGACAAACTTTAGCTTAATTACAGGACTTGTAAAAAACATCTTGGAAAACATAGGCGATTAGCTAGCTGAAAGTAACGGCTAGAGGAACTTAAAAGTTTTAGATTTAGAAAGTGCCTTCACATCCTAAAATAAAACGGTGGCTTTTCTAAAAACATAAGTAAATATAAGAAACTCCTGATAACAATATTATCATCTATTCCCGTTAGTGTCCAAGACACATGGGGCAGTGACCTCGGCATATGAAGGAATAGTGTGGTCAGCACTATGCCCAGTCGCCTTTATTTTCCCTAACGTGAGTTAGATACCCATCAGAGCGGGTGAACAGGGACGTTCTACTGGCTTGAGGCGGATTCGAACTCGAGACTTCGTGTCGGCAGTCTAGCTCTCTAGACAAAAATGTAACTCCTTACAAGGTTTACCACCGATAAACAATACACGTGAAAATAAAAAATGGCGCTCTTACTGTATCGTCCGCATGTCGCCAGAGTAAATAAAATGTCCTGCTGCTTATCACAACGCTAATACCTACACATTCCCGTGTTTTGTTTTACTGTGTGTGTCGGGCTGCTCTTCCTAGAAGAACTAATTCTTTCCCTCTATAGTACTGTGTATTAGTACAACCTTGAACCTTGACACCGTAATAACCCATTGATAAGGAACCGATCAATACAGCGTACCAAAAGTCGATACAGTTTATAAACCTTGTTGAGATGGTAGGCATAGATTGAGAGTCAAACTAACAAATATGGCTAAAACTAAATCGTTTGACATTGTTTCAAAATTAATAAAAACTTATTCGACAGCACTTTTTTTGGCGGGGGAGGGGGGGGGGGATATTGTTCCTTTAAAAATTGTAACTAAACCAGTGGCGTAGCGAGGTCGGGTGTCACCCGGTGCGGCACTTAATGGTGTCTCCCCCCCCGAGGCGTAGCGACCATTCCCATTCCCTGGGACAAACTTTCAAACTTTCGATTTGCACCCCCCCCCCCCCACTCAAGTTTTCGATTTGCACCCCCCCCCCCCCTCAAACTTTCGATTTGCACCCCCCTCAAGTATTTCTCTATATATTTTGCTATTTTTTGCCTTGGTGTCACCCCCTTAAATGGTGTCACCCGGTGCGGTCCACACCCCGCACCCCCTCGCTACGCCTGTGAACTAAACCCAGTTTGGTAAAATGCGACCCGCGTCTATCAGGATAGGTATATTGATGTTACGCACTCTCTTCAATTTGCAAGTGTGTATGTGCGGTTAGCAGATTACACACTGTCAACAGTGTCATAACTCTGTTAAGTACAGGTGATTAAATTATAAAAAACATTTCCCTCCTCCCTATAAAAACAGTAAAACGAAACAGAAACATAGTCCATTGATTACAGTAAGCGCCATTTGAATTGACGACAAAGTAATAGGTTTTTTTTAGATTTCAATTGAAATTTTTCAAACTATAAAGTACCGAGTCGCCATATCAGAATAGGTAATTTAAAAATATGTATCTGAATATAGCGCATTGTCCGGCCAGCGCTAGGGGTCAGTTGTACGTGGCGAGAATATCCAGGTGCCAAGTGGGTCGTCTCACGCACGTCCTTTGTGTGGGCGCCGTGGACCGGGTCACGCTGGAGTGCCCGTCCACACCTACTCGGGTGTCAGGTTCAAGGTCGGAAACAAAGACAAGGTCTTGGCGAGATTGTCACGGCGCCCGTGGAGTCAAAAGTTTGGAGAGAGAGAGAAAATGCCACCCCCACCCCTCTTAAACCTCCACCTCTAATACTCTTTAGAATATACAAAATGCGGGTTTACGTTTACATTAGCTATAATGAAAAGACTCCAATATGTGTATATGTGTTTGTTGTTGTTATGAATATTGATAGAAGTAGAGAAATGAAAACCATATACACCGTTTTCAATATATTGAACTTAGAATATTGAAAAGGTTAGGTCTGTCTTTTATATTTCAGTATGCTATTTACAAAATTTAATTAAAATTTAATTATAAATCTAAGCTTACACGTTCTTTAAACTTATGTCTGCGTGTGTGTGCATGTTCTTTGCATTACTAAAACGACTGTGTTGTTTCTATGTATTTTCAGTATAAGGTGCTCTTATATTCATTGGATGGTCGGTGCCTTTCACGCTTCAGTGCTTACGACCTTGCCCTTGGGGTCAAGACGCTATCCTGGTCACCGTCTAGCCAGTTTCTGGCTGTGGGTAGCTATGATGAAAAGGTGAGATATTGTCAGATCCTTCTAGAACTGCACCATTTTTTGCTTGATATAGTGTTCAGATCTACTTATATCTGTTTTAAAGTCGTTCTACTGTCTCCTATAAAACGCTGTTAAAATTCCAAATTCTAAGTTCATGACTTGTGTACATCGCTTTACTTGCATTAATATCAATCAATTAATCATCCCTGGCATCTCTTGGGAGAGGGGGAGGGGTTGCCCTCACCGAAGCTTGTTTACCCCCCCCCCCCCCCCCTCCACATTGCCCATAATCCATAAGAACTGGGAAGGGGAGGGGTGTTGGGACACAACAGTTGACTCTTTCATAATTCTTTGCCATGTTTCTCGCTCTCCTGTGTTTATCTCTTTATCTTATCCACACAAAACAAAAGTGGCCTTTACATGTGTGGGTAGCGATCACAGCTACCACCGTCTCCCACCTTGATCCCTACTTACTTAACCACTGCCACACCAGCGGCGGGTCCTAATTAACATGTGCCTGACGCCTACGACCATTCCCCTACCCAATGTGTATGCCCGACTCCCTGGAAAACTCCAGCCAAACCTTGATAAAGTTGGCCAATTGATGAAGGACTCTCCATATGAAATCTACCACCGTCTCCCACCTTGATCCCTACTTACTGTCCTGTGCTAATTAACATGTGCCTGACGCCTACGACCATTCCCCTACCCAATGTACGCCCGACTCCCTAGAAAACTCCAGCCAAACCTTGATAAAGTTGGCCAGTTGATGAAGGACTCTCCATATGAAAGCCAAGTGTCCCGGGCCCGGCCATGGAGAAAAAAGTAAATCTCTATCTGTGTCTGGTCGTACTTATCTTAGTCAAGTGTCGACTGGGATTGGGGTCAGTTGGTTAGGGTGTGGGATACTTGCAGGGTTCGGTGGGGTTTGCTTTGCTAAGGGTGCAGGGTTCGGTGGGGTTTGCTTTGCTAAGGGTGCAGGGTTCGGTGGGGTTTGCTTTGCTAAGGGTGCAGGGTTCGGTGGGGTTTGCTTTGCTAAGGGTGCAGGGTTCGGTGTGGTTTGCTTTACTTAGGGTGCATGGTTCGGTGAGGTTTGTTTTGCTAAGGGTGCAGGGTTCAGTGGGGTTTGCTTTGCTAAGGGTGCAGGGTTTGGTAGTGATTTATAAGTAGGGCTCGTTTAATTGTATGAATAAAACTATATAGGTTTTTGCATGTAATTAAACTTTGATTACCTTTTTTATCATTGTTATTAGCATCGTGAAAATAGTTTTTTTTTCTAGCTCTTTTGGTTTATGGTTTCGTGTTAAAGCCATAAAATAGAGTTTTTTATATCGAGGAATGGCCGAAAGGCGTCGCTATAGTTAAAAGATTGAAGAATGCAAATATTGGTGTTATTCACATTTAGGGATGGAGGTGTTGTGTTTAACTGATGTAGTGATGTAACTATGTTTCATGTAGAAACGGAGGGAATGGGTGTAAATGAAACAAAAATCAGCATTTGAAATCTTGAAATAACCAGACGCCCAACAGCAACCTTAATAGTACTTGAATTTGTAATAAGTTAAGTCTTTTATTCGGTAATAAAAACAATTGATCCAGGTAATAAATAGACCGAAATTAATTGATAAAAGTTTGAACTATTCGATCTGTAAATCAGGAAACAGGAGGGGTCTGTATGTTGTATTAGGCTATGCTCAGCATGAGGGGAAAGAACTCTCGTCCCTAAAGGGGAAAGAACTCTCGTCCCTAATGTAAACAAAACTGTCTATTGTCCTTGTATTAAAAGTTTACTGCAACTCAAGTACGACAATTAGGGGAGATAACGCTGGATGTGTTGTTTACATCGTCATAGCAACACCCATAACTCACTGCTCTCTAGCCGTGAGGGGAGGGGGTATAAATAAACTATTTTTTGTATGCATGTTTATATGTTTAAAATTAAGGATATTTAGTGCAGCTTTACAGCTTTGCAACTATCTGCATAGTAAATTTAACCACGCTCTTACATGTATACTTGTGCGGGCCCTAAATACTTGTATATTATAAAAAGGTAATCGAAGTTCCTGATTAGACCTAGCGATCCATTGGGCAGATGAAGTAGAGTTAATATATTTCCTTATCTCGGCATATGAGGGGATAGTGTGGTCAGCAAGATGCCTACCCGCCTTTACTCAGGTAGTCCTACAGTCACAAGTCCGAATCGAGATCCGAACTAGAAACCTTCGGGCTTGTAGCCAAAAGCTCTACCATTCGACCACGCTGTCAGTAAAAGACAAAGCACATATAGAAAGATAATTATGGTTGTGAAGCCTAACTTGCTTATATGTGTTCTTGACGTTTTTATTTTTACATAGGGTTTGTCCATGTACGACACGGAACTGAAGGTTCAGAATTTTGTGACGATGAGTTCATTATTATCTTTAGTTAATGTGGTAGGGGGGGGGGGGGGGGGTTGGAACATTGTGACGTCGAGTTAATGGTAGGAGTGAAAATTGGTTTTCTTTTTTAGTGTACACTTGTTGTGAAATAAATCGTGAATTGGAAATTAAATCCATATGCTGGATTTTCTCTGTTTGAGCTACTTTTTTTTTAAGAATAAAATAATCCGTGAAGCAGGTAGGCCTATAGACATTAAATCTGTAAAGGGTTAAATATGTGTACGTGTTCACATTCACTCGCCCGTGTTATACTTGTGAGTCTTGTATCCCGTTATGCTTTACACCCCATGTGTATCTGACACTACAAACGTGTGAGTGTCCTGTATTCCGTTATGCTTTACACGCCATGTGTAATCAGGCAGTGATGTATGACGTCAACCTTTGAGCTCATTACACTTAGCTCTGGTACACCGGTAGAGCTTCATGACCGTTGAGATTGAATTAGAAGAAAAAAAAACTTTGTTTAAAACAGGATTTAAAAGCACCACAATGCACTTCGGGTGTTGTTTTTTTTTTTTTACCAGTCGCTTCATCACTAGGGTTGCCAGGTGTCCAGTTTTGAACTGGACAGTCCAGTATTTGAGCTGACTGTCCAGGATAAAATAAATATAAATACTAGACAAGTATATGAATAATACTACGTTACCCCCCTTCTTCTGCTTTGCGGCATACCTGAGAAGGGAAGGATGGAAAGGTGTCCAGTATTTTCGGAAAAGGTATCTGGCAACCCTATTCATCACGTGTGTTCAATAGCGATGGTACCACGTGATTGTTTTGAAGATACATTTAGTCAATACTATGTATTAATGATGGATCTTTTAAGGCAAAAAAATACTTTCGTTATTGGGTACCAAGGGTAGTTCCTTGGTACCTAAGCCATCCACAAGAATGATATATCGATGTTTTCAAAAGAAGGACTATTATTGATTAGTGTTAGAGCTAGTTAGTTTGGGCTGATATCGTATTCCGGGTTTTAGTTTAGAAACAAGATAATATTCTTGCCAATCAGTGACCGTACCGTATACAAAAAGTACCAGACAAAAAAACTCAGATTTAAAAAGCTGATTAAAACTAAATTGTTAATTATCCTCAGTAACAATACCTTGTTATCTCCCTTGAAGAAATATTCCCGTCCGACTGTTGTAGAGTAGGCCTAGAATCTACATGTTTTATTCCTTCAATACCATCCAAGTAAAAGATCGCGGCGTTGCTCAGCTGTGAGTGCAAGAGTCGATTAGACACTAGGAAACTATGGGGTCGCCCATGCATGAAGCTATCCAGTCTGTCCACGACGTGTTGTCGTAATGAGCCAGGACTACACAGGAGCAGATAACTGGGACGCCCTGCGCACACCGGGCTGGAGATAAACGATGGCCCTCGTCTATTATCTTTGAGCTACTGGCCAGATTTCTTCTAGCGAAAACATCGAGGGCTGCCACTCATGGCTGTTCACCTTCTTTCCCTTTTTTGAGTCTTATATTCATTTACTTTGCGCTTGGTTTTATTTATTTATTCTATTTATTATTGTATCATCGAAAACAATTTTCATTTGCTAATCTATCATTTAATAAACTCAAGCAGTTAGCTAGTTGCTGTCCAGCCCCGTTGCTCAAGCAATACCCCAAACCCATTGCCCCAGCCCGTTGCCCACCCCAAACCCATTGCCCACCCCTACCCTAAACCCATTGCCCCAGCCCGTTGCCCACCCCAAACCCATTGCCCACCCCTACCCCAAACCCATTGCCCCAGCCCGTTGCCCACCCCAAACCCATTGCCCCAGCCCGTTGCCCACCCCAAACCCATTGCCCACCCCTACCCCAAACCCATTGCCCCAGCCCACCCCTACCCCAAACCCATTGCCCCAGCCCACCCCAAACCCATTGCCCACCCCTACCCCAAACCCATTGCCCCAGCCCACCCCAAACCCATTGCCCCAGCCCACCCCAAACCGATTGCCCCAGCCCACCCCAAACCCGTTGCCCACCCCTACCCCAAACCCATTGCACCCCCACCCCATTGCCCCAGCCCATCCAATATCTCAACCCATAGACCTCGAGCTATGATCCCAACCAACCTACCCCAACTAATTTAAATATTTAGATCACCCAGTGATGGCATATCTCATCTACGAAATGGGTAGATATGGAGTCCTATGTCGCACCCAAGGGGTTCATTTGGGAACTGATATATTTTACTCATAAAGAAGAGATAAGTATTTTTTTTTTTACTTTTTGGGCAGGTTATCATCTACTATTGAAGTCGTACTTGTTGGGGGTCTTTTACACGCACCGCTGGTTTACGCTGACCCTGCGCAGTCGGCAGAAATGTCTCTTCATTGAACCCTGACAACCGCATAAAGCAAATAATTTTTGAACTCAATTCAACCGCTCCTTTGTTAGCTACATGCACGGTGATTATTTTTTTACCAAGTTAATATTGTGAACACAAAATAGCGGCAAATCTGTTGGGACATGCTGCTAATATTTTCATAGAAAACTCGACTATATTTCCTTCCTATAATAATTTATGGCCGTCTGTGAACTTGTTCCATTCATAAATCCATTGATAGCTGGGACTACTTTTTACGTCATTTTTTTCTTCAATAAGAATTTGATCAATGAATATTCTAAAGCTGGATTTTCATACGTTGATTGGGTAAAACGCTGTGAAGAATGTTTTTCTTTACTCTACGGTCCTTGCATTTGATTTTAATTCATAAAACTGTCTTTGTGATGTTACATATATTGAAAAGAAAATGTCTGTATCGCGTTTTATTTTCCATAAAATCTATACCCGTGTTTGTGACTGCTGTAATACGTGGCAGTCTTTTATATTTGACTTTGGTTTATGTGTTCTCGTCACTCGATAATTTTTCACAGTCGTGTTTGAGGATAAAAATTATATTTGACACTTTACAGAGACGTCTTAAACCTTAACCCCTGCGGCGAAGGGGGTAGCTACAAGGTTGTGAGTAGGGGGAGGGGCTTATCGATTTGGCCGCGGCTGTACATTGATAATTATATGCATGACTCACACCGGACCTTGCAAAGTCACAATTTATGCATAAAGTTACTTACACCGTACCTTACACAGTCACAGGGCCCTCATAAAGTAAGACTTACACCATACCTTATACAAGTCACCCATTAAGTGAGACTCAACCGAACCTTACTCATAAAATGACTCGCCCTATAGTCACTGATTGCCTATGTTCACCAGATCATGTGTTGTACTAATGAGCTCGTGACACCGAGTGTTAAAAAGTAATACTCCGGGTACAGGTTCGTTAATCATTTGTGTGGTTTGTGTGGTTTTCACGCCTTTGTCGAGTTTCCCTTTGTCCTATTCAGTATAAGCATATCGAACCACCATACATACAACCAAAGCCCCGTACAGTTAAGTTCTATAAAAATCCCATACAGATAAACTAATTTTCCTATAGCATATGTATAACAAACCTCAACAACATAAGACTAACTAATCCCCACAGAGAATTAAATCAAAGCCACATATAGCATTGGTCTATCAAGCCCCCAAGCAGATCACCAAATCCCCATTTAGCAAAGGCCTAACACACCCCCATTCTGACAATCTATGTTCCATATAGCATACACTTAACAAACCCCCCATATAGCATAGTACTAATAAATCCCATACAGATTATCAAACCCCAATACACCATAAGCCCATCAAACCCCTACATATAATCAAATTCAAAGCCCCACATAGCTTAGACCTATACAGCCCCCCCCCCCCCCCCCATACAGATCACCAAAACACTATAGCATTTCCCCATACAACCCCATACAGATCATCAAAGCCCTATATAGCATTTCTCTATACAACCCCCATACAGATAATCAAAGCACCATATAGCATTGGCCTATACAACCCCCCCCCCCTCCCCCCCCCCCATACTGATCATCAAAGCCCCATATAACATTTCCCTATACAGCCCCCTATACAGATGATCAAAATCCCACACAGCTCACACATCAATTCACGCCCACCACTCGGTCATTACCGGGAAGTTTCCATAATCCCCACGTTTTGCGATTAACGGTGTATTCTATTCTATTCTAGCGCCCCTTCCACCCCCTCCTATGTGTAGCCACCGAACTAGTTGGACTGCTAGATCACCACCCATTTTAACCTATTATCACGAGGAAACCCCTGGGCTGACCCGTTTATTCGCAGCTTATCAAACTGTTGATTTGTGGCATTGACACATTTACCGTAGAGCTCTCCCCAACACGGAGTTAGTTATTCAAATACTTCGCGCCTGACCGCTGTCTGCAAGCGTCATTGTTGGCCCCTCTATGAAGCCGGGGTGGTAAATTTACGCAGAAATAGCTGTTAATATTTTAATCAAATTTTGCCGGGGTTTTTGAAAATGTTTACAGTAGGAACGTATCATATTTTATATTAACTCGTTTTGTAGACTTCATGGATGAGTTGTTTTTATGAAGGGGGGGGGGGGTCGTCAAAAGAACCGTTATTCTGGTAACGGTAAGTTAGGCTCCGGCTTAACGTGTGCGTCAGACGATATCACAAAAGTAAAGTAGTCCCGGCTAGGCCTGGGTTTGGGGGGGGGGGGGGGGGTATCATAAGTAATGCACAAATCACCAGGCTAGAACTACCGTTAGGAATGACGGTGCTCAAGTTCCGCATGCCTGCAAGATAACTTTTTTTTTCTTTTACCTAAGAGCATTAGGCCTAATCTATGCAGTTTGGTTGTTTTTTTTTTAATAAATTAAAACGCAAGAAGTCAGTGGCATATTTTAGGCCTATAACAAAAAAGCTTGAACAAGTGGGTTGTTTTGTGGGCGGGGAGGGATCGGTGCCTGATTCTATCGGCCTACTTAATAAAAAAAATCTGACAAGGCTCCGCGATAGGTAGCCTCCATGTGTGGATAGCTGTAGGTTTGGCGACAAACAATTGACAAGTGTGTAGATACATGGGCGGGGTAACGCTGAGACTAGGCAGAGGGAAATAACTGTGTGTGTGTGCAAACAGGGGCAAAGGGGGTGGGGTAGGAGAACTTAGGCTAATCGTGTTTGTCTTATAAATCCTCGTCAATTTAGATAAATTGCGATCCCTGTTGACGGGAAATAAGAATAGCGAGCCTTTTAAGATGTTTATGCCCTACACACTGTATGGAAATTGAGGTTTAGACACAATGCATTATTGAGACCATTTAGTTTTAATGTATCTCAAGGTGCATTTGGTTTAGGTTTATGTTGACTGGCACTGGTGTGGATTAGTGTAAGCTGTGTTTATTTCAGACTTTTTTCTCGGGGAGGGGGGGGGGGGGGGGGGGGGGACACGACACTGGTAAAAATAGTAAATATTTTCAATATAAATTCCATTTCGTTGGTGGGGGTAGACTCTTTCCCCCCCCCCCCCCCCCCTCCCTCCCCCAGAAAACACGATTCTTCTATATCGTTCAAAGTCTTCACCTCCCATGAGGTCCATCGCACACGCGCGAGTACGCGACGTTTGACCACTCAGGTTATCGGTTATTCTAGATTTGATTACATTGAATGGACCCAACACCACAGAGCCGTATTCCCATATGGCCTTCCACTGTGTGACTTCTTTGATAACTTAACTATCGCGAGTGTGTAGGCCTACCTCATTCAAGGTTAATCATGTTCAAAAATTTTCAGGTGCCATCGGCACAATGCACGATGGCCGATTATATATCCGAATAGTAACAAATAATAACACAGATTCAACCTCTAACTCCCCCCCCCCCCCACAAAACTTGTTGTCTTTAACATAACATGTTGAACATTATGGTTACTTTGGTGTGTTGAGATCGAGAAAAGACTAGGGTTATGTTGAGGGTTTAAGTGATGTTTAAGGTTAGGGTGACGGTAGAGGTCGCCTCCACGTATCAAATGAAGTAAATATTTTCTGTTTAATTTTTCCCCCATACACAACAAGATATGAACTAAATTTAATTGCACATATTTGAAAGACATCCGGGTTTTGTGCATGGGGACCTCCCAGTTACATCTTCCCCCCCCCCCCCCCTTCTCTCCATCCATAACTGAGGCTCTACAACACATGGAGGGCTTTGGCTGATTCCCCACCCAACTGTGCCCATCTGCTGTCTTGCTAGTCTGGACTCCTCGAGTTGCCGTAGGTCTGTCCTCACATTGTCCACACCTCTAAGTCTGCCCTTTAGTCGTCCCCCCAGGCGCCATCATACGTTCAATCATAGTATCTAGCTGACCCACGTACTGTTAGATATGTGTGAACTCCACTTTATTACTTTAACCAGCATGTTTTATGTGGGAATAGACTTGGTGTAGGGCAATGGGACAGTCGTTTTAGCGGTACCCTCATGGGTCTCTTCGTCTAGCTAATAGATAATATATTGTCTTACACTACCTGATGAAGAAGACCGGAGGCGTAGCAATGGGGGGGGGGGGACACACATGTCCCCGGGCGCCGACCTTAGGGGGCGCCAAAATGGGTTGGAAAAAGTAATCGAAAGTTTGAAGGGGGAGGGGGGTGCAAATCGAAAGTTTGAGGGGGGGTGCAAATCGAAAGTTTGTCCCCGGGCGCCGGGAAGGGTCGCTACGTTTCTGAAGAAGACTAACCGCAACACATAACCTAACCCTAAATCGTGCGCATCGTTGGGTCTCGTGGTAGGATTTATCCAGATTAGAACGGATGATGCTAAATCGCCAAATCCATTTTTTGTTTGCCTGTTTACAGATCCGGCTGTTGAACCACATCACGTGGAAAACTGTGGCCACCCTCTCCCACCCTGAGATCATCGACGGCAAAAACATAGTGAGAAAATTGTTTGATACACTATCAATAAGGCTTTTATTTCACTACTACTCAAAGGGAGTTAAAATTAAATGCATTTTTATTCTAGGGGAGATAATATACAAACTTATTTTTAAAATAACCGCAGGCCTATCAATTATTGATGCTGTTGGAACTGAATATTCTATTTTAAAGTTTAATTTTTTATTTTATATTTATCTTCATATGGATACTTCTGTCGTGTTGTTTGAAGCTAATTTTTATTTCCACAGAAAAGGTTTTTATAAATATTCAAAATAACTATCATCCTAATTTCGTACAGAGATTAAAAATATATATATAATTGAATAATTAAAACATTGATCATCAGAAATCTATGAGATTTTTGGCTTCATTTTCTGTAAATTTCTGTAACTTTATTTAAATGAATGAATGTAGGCCAGGGGTCGGCAACCTGCGGCTCGCGAGCCGCATGCGGCTCTTTTGATATCAAGATGCGGCTCTCCAGCTCCTTGAACAAATACTAATAATCTTAATAAAAAATAAAATATTTGAAATAAAAAAAATGTTAGTGGCTCTTTAAAACCAGGGAAAATTTGAAAATTGTAACTTTTGGCTCTTCCGCTTCAAAAGGTTGCCGACCCCTGATGTAGGCTACAAGTAAGAAAGAAGTGTTACTACAATTGTAAATCTGTATTCAGTCCCCATAAGTCGATGATGAAAACTGTAATACTAAAGTGAACATGCAAGGCAAACTGTCGATGTAAATTAGATGTCTGAGGCTGGAAAAAAAAAAGGTTAAAAGAGTATGATAAGCATTTGTCCACCCAGGTTTATGAAAGGAAGTATAACATATTGCTTTTTTTAATTAGGTAGTTTATAAAGAGTCAGAGACAAGGACGCCAAGTGCACCTGATGACCTGAGTAGAAGTACAACAGCAGCCTTGTTTACACCACAGAGTAAATGTGAGTCTTCACGCCACCTCTCAATCACCTGTACATGTATGCTGTACTCATGCATCACACAAGCTAAGTCTCATAAATTGTTGTCCTGTACTAAAAACACAAAAAAACAACTGTTGACAATTTATAACCAGCTTGGCTGCCTGGTTGAGAGTAGGTTCACCAACCCAAACACCTGGGTTCAGTTAGCTTTTTCTTGTTTAGATCGTTATTGACTCCACTCTAACCCACACAGTTGTGATGAGTGGTGACTCCAGTCAAGGAAAGTACTGGTAGACATAGTACTAGCCACTTACCCCATTCATCTCTAACCCACACTGATGAGTGAGTGACTCCAGTCAAGGAAAGTAACTACTGGCAGACATAGTACTAGCCACTTACCCCATTTATCTTTAACCCACACAGTTGTGATGAGTGAGTGACTCCAGTCAAGGAAAGTACTGGCAGACATAGTACTAGCCACTTACCCCATTCAACCCACACAGTTGTGATGAGTGGTGACTCCAGTCAAGGAAAGTAACTACTGGCAGACATAGTACTAGCCACTTACCCCATTCATCTCTAACCCACACTGATGAGTGGTGATTCCAGTCAAGGAAAGTACTGGCAGACATAGTACTAGCCACTTACCCAATTCATCTCTAACCCACACAGTTGTGATGAGTGAGTGACTCCAGTCAAGGAAAGTACTGGCAGACATAGTACTAGCCACTTACCCCATTCATCTCTAACCCACACTGATGAGTGGTGACTCCAGTCAAGGAAAGTACTGGCAGACATAGTACTAGCCACTTACCCAATTCATCTCTAACCCACACAGTTGTGATGAGTGAGTGACTCCAGTCAAGGAAAGTACTGGCAGACATAGTACTAGCCACTTACCCCATTCATCTCTAACCCACACTGATGAGTGGTGACTCCAGTCAAGGAAAGTACTGGCAGACATAGTACTAGCCACTTACCCAATTCATCTCTAACCCACACAGTTGTGATGAGTGAGTGACTCCAGTCAAGGAAAGTACTGGCAGACATAGTACTAGCCACTTACCCAATTCATCTCTAACCCACACAGTTGTGATGAGTGAGTGACTCCAGTCAAGGAAAGTACTGGCAGACATAGTACTAGCCACTTACCCCATTTATCTTTAACCCACACAGTTGTGATGAGTGAGTGACTCCAGTCAAGGAAAGTACTGGCAGACATAGTACTAGCCACTTACCCCATTCAACCCACACAGTTGTGATGAGTGAGTGACTCCAGTCAAGGAAAGTACTGGCAGACATAGTACTAGCCACTTACCCCATTTATCTTTAACCCACACAGTTGTGATGAGTGAGTGACTCCAGTCAAGGAAAGTACTGGCAGACATAGTACTAGCCACTTACCCCATTCATCTTTAACCCACACAGTTGTGATGAGTGGTGACTCCAGTCAAGGAAAGTACTGGTAGACATAGTACTAGCCACTTACCCCGTTCATCTTTAACCCACACAGTTGTGATGAGTGGTGACTCCAGTCAAGGAAAGTACTGGTAGACATAGTACTAGCCACTTACCCCATTCATCTCTAACCCACACAGTTGTGATGAGTGAGTGACTCCAGTCAAGGAAAGTAACTACTGGCAGACATAGTACTAGCCACTTACCCCATTCATCTCTAACCCACACAGTTGTGATGAGTGAGTGACTCCAGTAAAGGAAAGTAACTACTGGCAGACATAGTACTAGCCACTTACCCCATTCATCTCTAACCCACACAGTTGTGATGAGTGAGTGACTCCAGTCAAGGAAAGTACTGGCAGACATAGTACTAGCCACTTACCCCATTCATCTCTAACCCACACAGTTGTGATGAGTGAGTGACTCCAGTCAAGGAAAGTAACTACTGGCAGACATAGTACTAGCCACTTACCCCATTCATCTCTAACCCACACAGTTGTGATGAGTGCAGTGGGATCCCCTACCGGGGTCCAGCTAGTTGGTCTGGAGGAGTGCTGCATAGAAAAAGAAAAAATACATTAACACTGGTGATATGGGCACCGAATTCACAGCTGACAGAAATGATATTGTCATATCCTTCCCCCCTCCCCCCCTTTCACCCACTCTGCCCCAACGTCACATACCAGTTTGTCAAAATTTAGTATTTTATTTCTTAAGACTCTGGGGAGTAACCTAGTCCACAAAGGTTCACAGACAGCACACCACTAGGTTGTTTAGTAGCTGACTCCAGTCAGGCAAAGCAACTCTTGTCGGGTGTAGTGCTAGCAACACAATCCACTCATATCTAGAGCCCAAAGAAACAGATGAACTCTACTTCATCTGCCCTGTTGTATTTTCACTCAATCTGTATAGAATAATGTGTGTATGTTAACCTTTTGAAATGTATAATAATTTGCAGATGAGGTGGCTGCCTGCCCAGTGCAAGTACCAGTGACCAAACCTGCCCCTAATAAAGCCAATCCAAAAATTGGCATTGGTAGCTTGGCCTTTAGCCATGACAACAAGTACATGTTTAGTAGGAATGGTGAGTTCCTTCTGTTCTGTTTTTTACTCTGTGACTTATCTTAAGTGATGTAATAGTTTATTTCTTGTTAAAATTAGGTTGTTTTCTGTGTTTAAAAATAACCATTTATATTCTGTTGCTGATCATGATGTCATTAGAGAGCTAGTCAAGTGTGTTGTGTCATCATAGATTGTGTCATTGTAGATTTGTCAATTGTGTTCTTATAGGTAATGTGCCATGTTTGTCCTTGTAAATAAAAAGCCATATGAATTATGTCCATGTAGATAATATTCCATGTGTGTCCTTATAGGTAATATGCCATGTGTGTCCTTGTAGGTAATATGCCATGTGTGTCCTTGTAGGTAATATGCCATGTGTGTCCTTGTAGGTAATATGCCATATGCATTGTGTCCTTGTAGATAATATGCCAGGTGTGTTGTGCCCTTGAAGATAACATGCCATGTGTGTCCTTGAAGATAATATGCCACCTGTGTCCTTATAGATAATATGCCATGTGTTGTGCCCTTGTAGATAATATGCCATGTTGTGTCCATGTAAATAATATGCCACATGTGCCCTTATAGATAATATGCCACATGTGTCCTTATAGATAATATGCCATGTTGTGCCCTTATAGATAATATGCCATGTGTGCCCTTATAGATAATATGCCATGTGTGCTGTGGATCTGGGATGTGAGACGACTAGGCCTGTGTGCTGTTCTAATCCAGGCTAACCCTATCAAGTGTAAGTTAAAAATCTTATAACTTAACACTTTTAGTGTCTTTTATTGTCCTCAAGCCTCATGCTTTAATTGTCCTCACCAGTTTCAGATGCCTTTTAGCTTGGCAGTTTGTCCTATGTATACATTTAGATTTTTTACTCATACAGTTTTCTATCAGAAGTCACACAAAATACCACATTTTAACACACAATATTGACATTATTAGTCTTTTTAAATATTTTTTTTCTAAAAACAGATCTTAGTATCTGTATTGATCTTAAATTAAAAATAGTAATATGTTACTCTAAAGCATTTCTTGATTCGCTAATCATGGGAGAACATTAAATTAGAATAATTTCTATGTGTTTACTGATTTGTGGACTATGGGAGAACATTACATTAGAATAATTCCTTTGTGTTAACTGATTTATGGACTGTGGGAGAACGTAAAATTTGAATAATTCCTTTGTGTTGACTGATTTATGGACCATGGGAGAACATTAAATTAGAATAATGTCTTTGTGTTAACTGATTTATGGACCATGGGAGAACATAAAATTTGAATAATTTCTTTGTGTTAACTGATTTATGGACCACGGGAGAACATTAAATTAGAATAATTTCTTTGTGTTAACTGATGTAGCTTATTGTTATATTTTTTAACCTGTCAGCTGTGAGCTGGGATCCGAGCCGTCCCCGACTAGCCCTCAGCACAGCAAACAACAAACTCTTCATGTGGTCGTCTAATGGAAGTCTTTCTGTTGAAATCCCTGTGGAAGGCAAGCTCAGAAAGATTTTTTTTTCTCGTGTACCTTTATTTTTTGTATGTTGTGATGTTAAGTATCTTCTCCATGTTGAGCAACATGTAAAATCTTTGTAAAAGTTTTGCAGTTATAGTTACTTTTTTTTAGCCAGGAAACAATTAATATAAAAACATATAATAGTAATACTTAAAGCAAAGTATTTCTGATGTTATTGAGATTAACAAAAATGTTAGCATTTTACATTTACTTCTATACTTTTCTGATTTCTATCTTTTGTTATTTTTACTTTTTTAAGATCTTTCAAATAAATTTCAATGTATTCTTTTAGCTCTTCTATAATATTTTCATGAAAATAAACATGATCAAAAATTATTTTTAAGAAACGACCTAGACATAAATTTTGCTTCACTTGTCTGCAGGTACTTTCATGATTCACCATCTGCTGTGGCACCCAGAAGGGGATTCAATCCTCCTGATTGGGAAGGAGCAAATGTGTGTTTGTTTTTTGGCACCAACTGAAGTGAATGTCTCCGCAGTCCACAACACAAGTACTATCAACAACACGGAGGAAAAGTCTTACAATAGCAACAAGAATGATAAAAATAGCATAACAGTAGAATACTTAAAGTCCAGTCATGATTCTAATAACAATGAATGAGCACAAGATTAACTAAGATGTTATCCATTGTGTATTTTTTTTTTATTATGCATTTGTGACAATAGGGAGAAATAGTATTTTTCCCTTTCTAAAATTAAGTGAATACATAATTCATTATCTTCACCATTCCATTTTACTTAAGCTATGGTAAATGTTAACTATACAAGCAATATATGCATTTATTTATTTCAGTCTATAACTATAATTCAGTGAAAATATGATTTTCTATTACAAGAACAATTAACTTTTATTTAACTATGCAAGGAAATGTTTTATAAGATTGCTTCCTCACTACATGCTGTTATTTAGTTTGATGCTTTGAAAACATTTTTTTAAATATATTTTCTTCTCTTGCAACTTTAATCTAACCAAATGTGCCGATGATAGCTGCATATATTTTTCAATTTTGTAAATATACAATTAAATTTTAAGTTTGTATGAAATTTATATTTAGTTTTTCATAATGTTCATATTGAATGTAGATTACAGATTTATTTTATTATTATTTATTTCTCTAGGTTTGTATTTTGTGTATTTGCTGTGTTTATTATTCTTAAAACACTAATAATAACATTACCTATACCATAACTGAATGTTATAGAAAATGTAACTATTTTTATAATAAAAATAAATTTTAATTAATATTTTCTGTTTTTTAGGTGTTTCTATTGATTTATTAACTTTTATTAACTTTTTTATCTTGATTATAAAATTTAAAAAAGGCTCCCTAATATCACAGAATTTAATCTCACTGTCAAGAAATATCATGCTCAAATGTCAAATTGGTTTTCTTTTACGTTTATTAAGGGGATATGCGCGGAAAAAAATCACAAATTTTCTTGTTTTTCATCATGATCGGTTTCTTGCACTTTTGGATACTTTGTCCATTTTTGTATAAAGAAAATAATAACTTTAAAGGAAAAAAAAATATTTTATGTGTTTGAATTACGATTTTTATGACCCTATTAATTAAAAATAATCAATTTTTCCCAATCTTACAAGCTCTCTATGAAAAGTTTTATATCCGTCATTATATTGTATTTGACATCATTGGAAAGCTGGATTTCTCATGTATCTAATAAACTTAATTTCCTACATCTCGGAAACACCCAAAGCTTACAATCGGCTTTGCAGTTTACACAGATATGGTACTTTCCTGACCTAGTTTTCGTTACTTTTGGCTGTTTTTCTCAGTTCGCATGTTTTTAACACTAAAAAGCCTACTACTTTTTTATTTATTAAACAATGCCAACCATATTTTCAGTAATTGTTCTTGATGCAAAAATACAACTTTTGTCACGAGGGAATTGTGATTGCTTTCATAGAAAAAAAGTATTTGGTAATTAATATGCAAATTTTGAAACTTTTGAATACTAAAAACGGTACGATTTTTTAGACCTTGTAAAATTCTTACTAGTAATTATTTCAAAAAGTTGTCGTGACAAAAGTTTTAATATATACTGAAATATAAGCAGTTTAAATTTGATTGCTATAGGTGCATAAATAAAAAAGCCTTAGTATTTTTAAAAGTACCGAAAAATTCAAAATGGCGGAGGTTTTTGGGTTTCCATGACAACCAAAATTGTTTTCCACCCTTTTTTTTTGCTGTTTAATACTTACTTCTATATGCCAAATATGATAAAAGTATTCAAAAGGCTTTAGATCTTAAACTGTAAAAAATAGAAAAAAACATAGCATATCCCCTTAAGAAATCAGGAGAAGGGGAGGCTACTCAATAATAAGCTCTACATCTGAAGAAGAAAAAATGAGCTAGGGCAGTTGAAAGACCTTGTCCGAAATGAATAGAGAATTTTACAAAATTTTGTTGTTGAAGTGTGGCTGGTCCCTAAGCACATTAGGAATTAATAAATTATCTAAATACTACAATGAGGTTGGCAAGAACAGTGATATCTTAATAGAAATGTAGAGTTTGATTCAAATAGATAAGTCTACGTATACCTATATACACATTTAGAACTCCAAGCTACCTGAGGTCAGGGCAAGTAAATATATTGGGCATTCTGGGTATTTTTAACTAAATTTTAAAAATGGGTCTTCCATAAAACAAATGACGTACTGTTTTTGACAATTTTTACCTCCCCCTCCCCATGGTCACCAAAAAAAAACCAGCCCCCTCCCCGAAATAACTTTACACCTCAGGCTACAACCCCCCCCCCCCCCCTCCAAGTTTAAAAAAAAAAATGACATCAATTTCTTTCTAAAATATTGACTGAGCTCGGTCAAAATAGGGTGTAGGACAAAATGCCGACTGCCAAAAGGAAGAGCCAAAAGGCCGACAGACCATAAGGCCGACAAACATAAAAAAATATGTATTACTTCATAGCTCATATCTAGACAACCATCGAAATAAGGCATACAATAAGGCGAACCGTTCAAGAGAAAAGACGATGCTAGGTGCTATCCTTATAAGGTGAACCATTAGGTCAAGCGACTGGAGATTATGGGAGTGTCTCAAACACCTAAATATTGCGGTCACTGCTGTCTTTCACAGCTTTCTTCTACGTCAAAGAGGTGAGACAACCATTGAAGAACCAAGTCAAAAGCTGCCAGCATCTTCACCCACATGCAACAAGGTTAGTGTTTCTTCCAGACTTTTTTCTCCGGGGGGGGGGGGGGGGGGGGAGGGGGTACTTGAAATCTTCGGGGGTGGGGGGCGGTAAACTTTCTTCGGGGAGGGGGGGGGGGGGTGGACACTGTTAAAAGTATATATTTTTATATAAATTATATAAATTTCATTCCGTTTGGGGGAGGGGGCGGTAAAAAGCCCCCCCCCCCCCCGAAGAGATACCTGGAAGAAACTCTGCACCCGGTGTGGCACTTAATGGTGTCACCCCCCAGAGGCGTAGCGAGCCTTCCCGGGGACAAACTTTCAAATTTTCGATTTGCACCCCCCCCCCCCTCAAGTTTTTCTCTATATATTTTTGGTATTTTTTGCCTTGGTGTCACCCCCCTAAATGGCGTCACCCGGTGCGGTCCGCACCCTCGCTACGCCTCTGATATAGGTTATAGGCCTAAACTAGGACCCAAACTTCATGGCGCTTTGATGTACTCACTGCTGATGCTCCCGGACCTAGAAAGCCTGCTAATACTACAAAGTTTAAAGTAAGAATAAGGCGAGCTTTTATAGAAAGGTATCGAAAGAGAAAGGACTAGGTTAGACAAATGATTCAATCAGTTTTAGCCTACTTTACATTATTATATGCCAGACTCATCGTCTGTAATTGTTGACAGTTGTATTAACAAACAAAAATTATACTGATTTTATTATTGGGAAATTCTTCATTCATTACATTTATTTTGTTAGTAAAACAGCGAAACGAGCCAAAAAATTATTTGCGGATATTTACGTTATTTTGTATTTTCAAGTTAACGCCCATATTACACTTCCTGTTACCGTAGTTCAAATTTTTCATTGTTGACAAATAGATCTACTATACTTCGATCTAGACTAGATCTAGGATTCGAGTAGGATTCTTTCTAGATCACTAGATTTTTAAATCTAGATCTATCTAGTATCTAGCTCATACTATCTAGACTAATTGTACCGTACCTTACACTAGCAACTAGTCTAGTCTTTAATCTACTTTTACTACTAAATAAATTAATAAATAATTTTATCATCCAAAAAAAAATAATTCCAATCTGCTTTAAAAAAGGGGTGTTACTAGTTTACCCGGTACCTAGAAAGTTAAAAAAGTAACTATTAAAGTTAAACTAACAACAAGTGTAAGTGTTAGTAATACTGTAATAGTTATTTATTAGTTAGTTGAGTGTTAGTTAATAGTTAGACCAGTGTTTAGTACTGTTAGGCCGGTTTTGTTTTAGCCTTTAGTTAAGTAAAGTTAAGTTTAAAGTTAGGCCTACTCTGATAGTTAGTTAGATAGTTAGGCCTAACTAATAACTAACTAAACTAGTCTAAACTCTAAACACTAAACCAAACAGTGAAACACACACATTGCTGGCTAATACTTAGCTATAATTATACTATAATAAATATCAAATATCAATTCTAACCCTGTCCCTAACCGGTCAACCCTAGTGAGCCCTAGTCCATAATACTATCATAATACTAATATGCCTAACCCCTTAATTAGCCTTAATATAATTTCTAACCATAAAAATTAAAATTAGTTGAGATTACAATGTAACAGTAATTTACTAACTACATTTTAGTCACGATCAAAACATAAATCCTCCTTAAAATGTGAAATAGGCCCTAATTACTAAAATTTAAGGAGGCACCTTTGCTCACATTTCTAGTCTCAGCCGATTTTACATACTTAAAATTAAGTTAAAATGATATATTACCTACTATATTATTATTAAAATTATATTTAGGCCTATTCCTAATCCTATTATTTTTATTAGGCCTAGGCACAAGTTTTAGTTCAGTTTTAAGCCGATTCAATAATGAATTATTTTTGTGATACCACCCACAGGCAACTTTAAGTGTTTAAATACATTTAAATTCTGTTTCAACAAAGTTAATAATTACATCAAATGGACAATCAAAATAATGGTACGTAAACTGAATTTAGGATAATCAAGTTAGTACTTAGGAGTAGGTAGTTCACTATAACTAAGTTAGCCTACATTCTACATTCATATATCATGAATGTAATACATAATATTAATATAGGCCTACATGATAAAAGTTAGTCACAATTGTAATATTTAAATATTATAATATAGATCTAAATTCAGTTGATAGTTACTAAATATTTATTACGGTAAAAGTTGGCTTAATACATTTGAAAAACTTTCTGTTTTCAGACACTCTTGAAAAACGGCCATCTATTGCAAATGTGTACAGTGAATTATTCAAAGATATTTCAACTGTAAATAAACAAAGAAAAAGACCCTTTGATACTGTAGGTGTTGTTGTTTTTATTACATTTGCAATGTTCTATTTTATCTTGTTTTGAAAATCATTTGTATGATCGTACAACAGTACACTAAAATATATTTCAACTTTCAGAGTTTATGTGAAGATGACAGTTCACCAAGTAAAGTTGCTAGACTAGACAACAAAGGTGATAAAACTTCTGTTGATCTTGATTAGCTTGAATTAATTACCTGCCAATTAATATGATTTTACAGAAACAAGACTCTCATTTGTTCCATTTCTGACTTATTAAAAATATTTAATTATCTGCAGAAAATTCAGCATATAAAAGAGATAAAGCAGTTATTCAGGTAGAAAGCTGTTTTTTTTTTTTAAATCAACATAAGGCTTGATTCTGTTCCCCATGTGTTTTTTATACATTATTTCCTTTTAATTTAAAAATATTTTCCTTGTATACATGATTTTTTCCTCTCTTTTAACTATAAGTACTATGAATTATGTTTTTTTTTGTAATCAGAAAGGAAGAGAAAGGATCAAAGAGTACAAGTTTTGGCTAGAAAAGAAATTAAAGATTTGTAATACAGATTTTCATAATCAACGACAGCTGATTGCCAAAGACAATGTTATTTCTGCTCTTGAAAGTAAAATTCTAGAGCTTGAAAATCGCACACATGGTTAGTAAAAGTTGCATGTGCTGTGTTATTTTTTTTTTTAAATGGGGATTGTATTTTTTAATTTAAAATAATAAAATTGTTTACATGATCATTTGCAGATAATGCTTCATCCCCATCAACACAGAAACTGTTGGATGAAATAAGAAATCTTGAAAATGAAAATGAGAGATTAAGGAAAAGGGTTAGTCAAAGCATTTGTACATTCCCATTCCATGTATGGCAAGCATATTTGCTTTTTTATCAGAAACAGAATTTTGTTTTTTGATGTGTTACGTATAAAAAATGTATATGTAGATATTTTCTAAAAATAGATATCAGATTTGGAAACTTATGAAACACTGTACAAGAGAGGCAACATTGAGAACCCAGCTGTACATTCAATGGGTTTTACAAAGTTTGATGGGAGGGTAAGTATTTGTTGCTCTGTTTATTTTTTTTAGACCTTTTTCATTTTGCTTTTATGTTCCTTGATTTGAAACATGCATTGTGTGGGTTTGTAATATTCTAGGTCACTGATGTATAATTTTAAAAATAATGTTCAATAACTTTTGACAGCTTCTACCTCGTGTTTCTGGAACAGAAAAAGACCTTAAAACTTTCATGCAGATTTTGTCAGAGACAGAAGAAAAAATCAAAGTGAGATCATTTGAAATTAGTTACCTGGAAAAAAGATAATAGAAATCAGCACTTTACATAACCAAGTTGTAAATTAGGATTTCTTGTATTAAAATTTAAACTGGGTCATTCTGCTAGAAATGTTTGTGAAATGTGATTTTTTTTTTTTTTTCATTTACAGAAATTGAAAACAGAAAAAGAAAATTTAAAAGATGAGTTGAACCTTTTTGAAAGTGAGAAGTATTTTCAACAAACTTTTTCTTCTTTAACATATGAACTCTTAGTTTCAATATTTAATCAACTTTTGTGTTTTGTTTTGTATCATTGTAAACAAATTTAAACTTTCAACTTCACAGTTAAAAAACGTGAGCAAGAAAAAGAACTGAGACAAAAGATCAGTCATCTAGAAAACAAATTATTTGATGCCAATATGCAGTGCGTCCAGGAACAGATTAAATTTACTGAACATTTGGCGGACAATCCTACTGTAGGTTTCTTTCTCATTTTTTTTTTTTTTTTAATTTTTAACATTTTTTATTGATAGATAAATATTTATAAACTGTACAAGTAACAAATTAAATGACAAATATAATTTTCTGTAGGCTTTAGTAGAAATTCATTTATATTACTTTTTAGTTTTTATGACAATTAATTTATTGTCCTAACACAATTTATTCAGATGATTGTTGTAGAAAGCCGAGCTCCCAAACGAATGAATTTGGATGATTTGTACAGTATAAAAGACATCAGTAGCATTCTGTCTATGGATCTAAGGACAGTAAACAAAGAATTTTTACTGTTTTCAAAATCAGTGATGTCCAGTTTGAAAGATTTTGTTTACCAGGTAGGCAGGCTATCATTTTATTTTTAAATCAGGGACAGTAGTAGAACTACTTGAGTAAGTTTCAAGTCTATGGAGTTTTCCTTTCCTGCTATGGCAGTTGCCTGATTTTGGTCAGTAAAAGTGTAATTGGCTGGGCTTGCAAGTGTGACAAAATCCCTCTGTTTGAAGTAGCCATAGGAAAATAATGTATTTTATTTGACCATCAAGTTAAAAATAGAACTTGATTTTCTTTTGGCAACTATAGCCTCAACTCATTAGGTTGATTAACCAGTTGTATAATTATTAACTTAAGCTTATGTACTTCACAGTAGTTTTTTAATTTAAAGTAGAAGTTAATTTAAACACATTTTACTTTACTGTAACTTGTTTGTAGGGTGAATAATTTTCACTACAATCTTAAATGAATTAACTCCCTGTAACATCTGTCAATGTATGCTCATGTTCAGGTTCAAGAGGCAATCAAAACCACTGATGAAAAGAACAAAGAGCTTGTAATGAAGTACACTAAAGAGATCCAGCTGCGGAAATCTTTCCATAACCAGTTGGTGGAGTTGAGGGGTAAGTTTTGATTTAAATATTTAAGTAAGGGTCAGGGGTGAGTGCTATAGCTCAAAAAAAAATCCATTGATTAATTAAAGTGTTTCAGTTAAATTACATTTAGTTTTGCACTTTAAAAAAATGTTTATTGTTACCTAAATAAAGCAAATACCAATACCCAAAGGAATGAAGATGATTATTTGCAGTGCAATATTTTATTAACTGCTTTATTGGGATGGGTTTAGTTAACTTATTTGTGATATGTGTGGGGTTGGCTTGGTTTACTTACTTGGGATCAGGGTGAGCATTAGATGACAATAAAGTGCTGATCTCTATTATCTTTTTTCCAGGTAACATTAGAGTGTTCTGTCGTGTGCGGCCCTGCATCAAAGAAGATGGTGAGACTGAGACCATGGTAACAACAGACCCGTACGATGATGGAGTTATCACAATAAACAATAGAAGCAAAAGTGTACATTTTCAAATGGACAAAGTCTTTCACATGGATATCTCACAATCACAGGTGACCTTTTGAACTACGCAACCCTCCTATTTTATGCTAACGATTTTCCAAGTAATGCTTTTGATCTGTTTTAAATACATTTCAAAGAAGTAACACTTACTGCCTAAATTTCAATGTTCAATAAACCCTTTTCACCAAGTGAAACATTATGCATGCTTCTGTTAATGGTTTATCTAATTAATGTATGAATTTTGTAATCATTTTTGAAGTAGCCTAATCCCTTAAGTGATTGACCTTTGTTTAGGTTTTTGAAGAGGTCTCATCTCTTGTGCGCTCAGCTATTGACGGCTACAATGTATGTATCTTTGCTTATGGACAGACGGGATCAGGGAAAACATACACAATGGAGGTTGTTACAGTATTTTATTTTTGTAAAATAGTTAATGCTTCAGGTATATTTTGATTATAATCTAAATCATTAATGTATCCCTACTTGTATTGTAAGGCCAGAGTAAAAAGAAACATTTTTATATTTATTTTATAATTTTAGCTTTTTTTTTAAATCCAGGGTTCTTCATCTGACCCAGGAGTGAATCAAAGAGCTCTTCAATTTTTGTATGAGGAAACAAAAAACTCAAGCTGGCAATATAACATTGAAGCCAGCATGTTGGAGATTTACAATGAGACTATAAGGTTTCAATTTTATTTTTTTAAATAAAAATATAGATACAATCATTGCAGGTTTTTAATACTTGCATATATGAATGCAACCTTGTTCTTGTTTAGTCTAGCTGTAGAGTGATAATGTTGTTCTGTCGCACTGAAACCTTAATCAACTTACTGTATTTAGGGACTTGTTAAACCCTGACACACCAACTGATAAACTTGAGGTCAAGATGAAGCCCGAGGGAGGGCTGTATGTACCTGGTCTAGTCACTGTACCTGTCAGATCCCTTGCTGAGATCAATAAGGTAGGTAAAAACATTCCTACTCAATCATATAATCTTTGATGTGAAAGTTAAACTACATTTTTTAAATATTTAAAATGAATAGCTACAGTTATTTGTTATGTAGGGGTGCACATGATTGGTCTCCAAATGTCCAAAATTAGGACCCCGGGTTAATGAGTCTCGTTAGCTCCATCTAGGAGAGAAAAATATCATCAGACAAATGTTATGTTGCTGATTGTCCTTAGGTGGACAAAGACTATGGAGGCAAATCCAGAAAGAAATGCATGCTGAAGTTTGAGTCAACGTCCCACTATTACAATTAAAAATTAGAATAAATGCTATTTCTGTACTCAACTTCCTTGCTTCTTAAATCAAACTTTATAAACTTTTAAAACTTTTTTTTTTCAAATGACCAATTGCATGTAATTGTTCAGTTCCAGAAATAGAAATTTTTTTTTTTACTTTGAACAGATATTTGAGACAGGTAGACAGAACAGATCCACGGCTGCCACCAGTATGAATGAAAGGTCTTCCCGGTCCCATTGCTTGCTGTGTGTTAGTGTAGTTGGTGTCAATCTTCTGACAGGAAGCAAGACTTTTGGTACAAACATTGTTTTTCTACATCTCAATCTGAGTTCACTGTTTTATTTTAATTAGTTTTTTTATCCATGTTTCTTAAATTAAATATTTTCAAATGTATGATAGTTTGGCTGTTATATATATAATTTTTTTATGCTTTATAGGGCGACTAAATCTAGTAGACTTGGCAGGCTCTGAAAGGGTCAGCAAGTCACATGCAGATGGAGCAAGGCTTAAAGAAGCACAAAATATAAACAAGTAAACTTTCTTTTTTGTGCGATTTGTTAATGATCTATATTAGGGTAATCTAACTGTGTACTGGTGAAGAGTAATAAAGTGAACAATACACACATTAATGAATCAAGCTAAAACCCTGATCAGCAATCAAGTTTTAGCTCAGATAATAGGGTACCCAACATAACTTGGTAAAGTACTCATGATGAGGTCAAGGTCATAGAAACTAGTGGCTTTTTCTTCTACAATACACTGTTGGGCAGTGATACTTTTTTTTCCATAGCTAAGTTTAGACTAAGAGAAATGTGTGTTCTATAGACCAGATGCACACATTTTAGCTCAAACACACAATGAGTTTTGCTGTATGCTATTGTACTTATCACTATTCTTAATCATTGCTATTCAAAAGGCTCTTTGTGTACCATTTGTTTTATTCTAACTTCACCATCAGGTCTCTCTCTTCTTTGGGTGATGTCATCAGTGCCCTAAAAAATAAACATAGTCATATCCCGTACAGGAACTCAAAACTAACATACCTTCTACAGGATTCCCTTGGTGAGAACACTTTTAAATAGAATTTCATTTTTTTTCTATTTCAAATAGGTACATTTTATATCAGAAAGTGGGTCTTGAAATAAATGCTTACAATTCAAAAATTAATTTTAATTTTAATATGCTCTGTAATTTTATAGTGTTTACTACTTGTGAAGCATTTGTTTAATGTTAAATTTTACATATGAAAATAATAATTTTAAAAAATTGGCAATGGTGTGTTTGTTTACCTTCACATTTGCACATGATAAAATAACTTTAAAAGTGATTGATAATTATATCTCTATAACTATGCAGGTGGAGACAGCAAGACACTAATGATTCTCCAGGTCTCACCTGTTGAGAAAAATATAAATGAGAGCATTTGTACGTTGAACTTTGGCCAAAGGGTCATGTCTGCTGAGCTTGGACAAGCCACACGAAAAGTTGAGGAAGGAAAGGTACGAATTAATGGAAGAGCACTTCATGCACTTAACTCTTTCTTGTGATTACCAAAAAAAATTTTTCTTAATATTTGTATTGATCTCAATGGTAATTTTTTCCCCCTATCACATATAATAGTATTATAAATTAAAACCAAGATTCATTAATTTAAATATCCATAATATCTGATTTTTGCAAACAAAGTTCTTTTGCAAGGTTGTTGCATTAAAAAATAAATTTATCACATTACTAAGAAATTCTTAAGTACCAGGAAATGCTCTTCCTTTTATCTAAAATATACATTATTTATTTTTAACATCTTGCATAAGCCAAAGTTTGCCAAAACATTTTTGGGGGAAGGTTTTTGGTGTCAAACCTTCAAGCAAAGGCTTATGGGATTTGTTGTCAATTTGCATAAATGTTTTAACAGGTCCCAGTGTACAGTTTAGGACAATGGAGGAAACCCATGCTAATGGTGAGAATAAGAATAATAGTGGGAGGAGGGGGGGGGGGATAGAAAAATTGGTAGAGAAAAAGAGTAGCACAGGAAAAAAAATACAACTTTTAATACCATGTTAATGTGTTTTTGCATCACCAGCTGTTTTCTAGTCATGCATTTATGTAGTGTATTAATAGTCTTGGAGTATTCTAAATACATTAATACACTACACTGTGCTCTAGCTCGCCCCAAATAAGCTTTTTTTTGGAAACCCAAGTACAAATAAAAAATTTTAACATCAATGATTACTAGTCAATATCCTAAGATTTAAAAGGTTAATTTTTTTTTTCCAGAACACACCATCCAGCGCACGTAGAGCAAACAGTGACACACCTAATGTGGTAAACTCGCCGATACCTTTGACCCCCACCAACAAGACACCAAACATCCCAAAATGCTCGACAGTTCCTTCCAAACTTAATCAAAGATTTAAATAACATTTGTAGATGAATTTATGTTTCACCTCTCTCTCATTCACAGCATATGAACATAATCTTATTCCCCTTTTTTGCTTAGTGTTGATCATTATATGTCATATAAAGAAATATGATAAAGTCCATGTACATAAAACATAACATAATGTGTTGTTTTTTTAAACGTCAAAACAAATTTTTGCTTGCTTGTGCTTGATTTGTTGCTAAAGTGTTTAATGCATACTGCTATTTATGTATTTATAATTTTATTCCTTTTTTCACAATAGATAAATGATTTAAAAAATGTTAAACCTGTATAAAAAGAGAGACCCTAAAAAAATCACTTTTGAAACATAATTTTAATTTTAAAATGAGACAGAAATTTGTCTAGAACAATTATTTATTTGATTTTTTTTTCAATAATAACTTGTATAGAATTACAGTGTATTTTCTAGTTATTGATATTTGTGCTATGAATAAAAAAAATGTATAAGCTGCATCTGCATACTATTTAGTCTTTCTAAGATGTTTTCAAATGTATTTTTTGTAGGTTACGGTTACATGACACTGGACTTTTTTTGTAGGTTATATAATAAAGTTATTACAATGATCTTTCTGTGTCTTATTGTATTTTTATTATGAATAGTTAAATGGGGGAAAAGTCTTATTATATGTAGTTTCATAGTAGTATCATTTTCCCCTGGATAGTTGTAGCACTAGAAAAAGTATATATTTTCTATATAATATATATATATATATATATATATATTTGTATTCTGATCATAGCAGTTGACATGCTCTTTCCAGGACTATTTTTTTCAATTTGGTTTAAAAGTGTAGCCCATCTGCATGGTGTTAACATCTAGGTTGCATTGTCAGGTGCATCTTGTATGTCCTATTTTGTGCTTTCTTTGGGGGTTCCACTCTAGTGTCAGCCTGGTGATACTAGAATTTCAATTACAAATCCATAAATGACATCACATTATTTTGTAGCCACTAAGCCACTCTCTCCATCCTGCCCCCCCCCCCTCCACACCCCTCAATAGTTATATAGAAGAACCTTGTTCTCCAGGGTTTCCATCAGACATTTTTCCCCAGAAAGGGGAGGGGGGGGGGGGGGCTAATAAATGTAGGTTATTTATTTTCATTTTACGTTTTAGACATTTTATAATTTGGGAGGGTTGGAGGTGGACGTACTCCGGGAAGGCAGAGGGGCGGGGGTGGGTACATATGTCCCCGGGCGCCGACCTTAGGGGGCGCCAAAATGGGTTAGAAAAGCAAATTAAAATCTCATTCTAGCTGCAGTTTTGCATTATAAATATAAAAAAATATATCCGAGGGGGGGGGGGTGCCAATTGAAAGTTTGAGGGGGGTTGCAAAGTGAAAGTCTGAAGGGTTTGAAAATTGAAAGTTAGTCCCCGGGGGAAGGGGGGTGGGAGTGCCCCCCGCCCCCAGTGAAGAGAAAGTAACGTTAATGCCATTCTTTCTCTCTCCCCCCCCCCCCCCCCCCCCAACACCACAAAAATAACCAGTCACCCTGTCGTCCCCGTATGTTTTATAAAACCTTAAACCAATAATTGTAGTTCTAAAATAGCCTTCACTGTCTGTTTTTTAAAGAACTAGCTTATTAATTATAATTAGAATCTAGATCTAGAGAATTATGTAAATATCATGGTGCTAGTTCTGGAAGTCATGTCATTTAGGCTGTACTATGCGTCATCTCAAAAAAGATAAACAAACATGGCGGACGATACTGTTGTGTTTATTCAGAGAGAACTTCCAATCAACGCATTTCCAACGATAGCTGACATTAGAAGGCAGGGGCAACTTTGTGATGTTACCCTGAAGGTAGGCCTAATATATTTTGAAAACAATGCCCTGATCTGTTTGTCGTTTTCGACAAAATTGTTCACTTCTTTCTTAAGACTTCCTTACTCGTTGTTTGTTACTCAGCCACTCAGCCGTGCTTACGCCTAGCTTACACTGCTTGGCTTAGTTAACTTAACTTAGTTAGCTTAACTATAATACTACTAGATTTCTAGATTCTAGTTCTAGTAGATCTCTAGATCTAGATCTAGATGTCTATTTATTTAGTACTGTAGTTCAAGTTCTTCCTTGACTTCTTGTCTTGTCTAGTAATAAAATAATTTAAATTAAACTCAAATGAAACTGTCAATGACTCTTACTTTACTTATTATTAGTCTTAGTCTTCAGAAGAGTTTTCTTCTTAATTTCTTACTAAAGTAAACTATATCTAAATAGCATATTAAATATTAAGTAAATAGTCTAAATAATACATATTAAATAAATACTAATATTTACATTATTTAGATTTTAGTCTGACTCTTAACTCTAAGCTATAACTCTAATGCTTTTTTTTGGAGTTAGATCTACTAATTTTACTAACTACTAACTAAAACATCATGCAAGATGGGCATTCACTTGATTCTCTATAATCAAATAATCTATAGGCCTATATTATATTGTAATGATATTTTACTGGTGCACAAACAAAATGAAACTGTTAAGTGTTAGGCTTAGGATTACATTACACACAGATGTAAAATGGGAAAAAATTATAAAGTAAGTGGTGGACAGTGACAGATAAATTACAATAACTTACAGCAGGGGTGTAGCGAGGGGGGGGGGCAGGGGGTGTGGACCGCACCGGGTGACACCATTTAGGGGGGTGACACCAAGGCAAAAAATAGCAAAATATATAGAGAAAAACTTCAGGGGGGGGGGTGCAAATCGAAAGTTTGAGGGGGGGGGGGAGGGTGCAAATCAAAAACTTGAGGGGGGTGCAAATCGAAAGTTTGAGGGGGGGGGGGTGTAAATCGAAAATTTGAAAGTTTGTTCCCGGGAAGGGTCGCAACGCCTCTGGGGGGGGTGACACCATTAAGTGCCGCACCGGGTGACACCCGACCTCGCTACGCCACTGACTTACAGTATTTATATATTAAAGTGAGGAAAAGTACAAAAAGGCATTTAAATTTTCTATGTCTATTGTCGAATTCCCTAGGTTGCTGACCAAAAGTTTTCAGCTCATCGTATAATTTTAGCTGCTACAATTCCTTACTTCCACGCCATGTTTACACATGATATGGTGGAGACTAAACAAAATGAAATCACAATGGAAAGCATTGAGCCCAGGTAAACTATCCTTTTTATCTCTTAATGTGTTCGTTGTTTTTTGTTTTTTTACTTTTAACTTAGGCAAAATTATAATAAACAAGATGAGCATGGAAAACTAAGAGACTTTACAGGAACTATAAAGAAGCGTAGCACAAAATATAAATATATATTGAAATGAATAGTCATAACTACTACTATGTGGTCAGTACTTATTACCATAGCTTGATGTTTAAAATTTCTGTGAAAATAACACCCAGCTAGGGAACTAAATACTGACCATGTAAAGTTATGACTATTTTGATATATATTTATATTTTGTATGATACTGATACTATTGTTATAAGTTAATTGGGTTGATTCTAAATTATCTCCAAGATGCACATTGTGTTCCTGTTATAAAACTGTTGACTAACTATTCTTGTTGTGGTCTCCATGTGTTAGTCAATTTTAGATTTTGTAATAGGTTCATTACATGAATAGGGGAGATAAAACATGATGTTGGTAAACATCTATAATGTACTACTGCCACAGAAAAAATTAGATTCAACACCCTCTTAGATCTAGGCCTTGTTCTTTTTTTGTAACATTTGTAAACATCATTTAATTATTATAATGGCTTACAAAAATTTTTTTTACATTATTTCAGTGCGTTGGAAGCCCTGATAAATTTTTCCTATACTGGCAGAGTTGTTATTGACATGAACAATGTCCAGTCACTTCTCATTGTTGCTGGTTTCTTACATATGCAAGCTGTCAAAGATGCATGTAGCACATACCTAAAGAACAGGTATAGTTTAAAATTGAACTCTTCACCAGCTTTCTTGTTATAAAACAATAGGTCTTTTTTTTTTCTCATTATGTTTTTTAACAACCTGTTTGATTTTCTTAAGATTTTGTTACCACATCAGATTTTGCATGCTGTAAATATTTTAAATTAAAATCATAATATTCATTATTGAATATGAAGAAAATAAATGTTGCTGAGCATTCCTCAACCAAAAACAATTAAGGAACAGTTCAAAATTATGTTCCTCACTATTGATTTTGGTCTTCCTAGACCTTCTACCTCATCAATTGGTCCATTAGTCTTGAAGCTAGTATGTCACATCTTTAGACTAGAAGATAGTAACTTACAAATATTTGGTCCTAGTTAGACTAACAGATAGTGAAACATGACTATTTTGACCAACTTAGACTAGAGGACAGTGAAACATGACTATTTAGTCCTAGTTAGACTAGAAGAAAGTGAAACATGACTATTTTGTCCTACTTAGACTAGAAGACAGTGAAACATGACTATTTTGTCCTACTTAGACTAGAGGACAGTGAAACATGACTATTTTGTCCTACTTCCAGACTAGAGCCCTCCTCCTGTTTGTCTGTCACATTATTAGACAAGAAGATAGTAACTAACAGATAGTGAAACATGACTATTTTGACCTACCTAGACTAGAGGACAGTGAAACATGACTATTTTGTCCTAGTTAGACTAGAAGAAAGTGAAACATGACTATTTTGTCCTACTTAGACTAGAAGACAGTGAAACATGAGTATTTTGTCCTACTTAGACTAGAGGACAGTGAAACATGACTATTTTGTCCTACTTAAAGTAGAGGACAGTGAAACATGACTATTTTGTCCTACTTCCAGACTAGAGCCCTCCTCCTGTTTGTCTGTTAGACAGTTTGCTGATCAGTACCAGTGCTGCTCCTTAGTAGAGGCAGCCAATAAATACATTCAAAATAATTTCCAGCAGGTTTGTGTTTTTAATTGTTTTACCTAGACATCACTGTTGCATCTCACACTATTAATTTAATTTGAGAGAGTAAAATGCTTAGTTAATGCTTTCTATTACTGTCCTATTTTTTAAATTTGGTAATTCTCATTTAAAAACATCCTAGATATATTTGTCTACCTGTTGTTTTATTTTTCTTAAAATCAGGTGGCGCTATCCAGTGACTTTCTCACACTACCCAAGTCTGAAGTTTTGGAAATACTTTCTCGAGATGAATTGCATATTATATCAGAGGAGCAGGTGATTATTTTATTTAGACATAACTAATTGCGTTATATACAATCACAATATAAACTCAGTCACCTGTGTGTAATTTCTGGTCCCATGGGATGAATAATATAACCAATTTGTCAGATGGATTACATTGTGGATGAATGAATTATTCAGGTTTTTGAGGCAGTCATGAGATGGATCAAACACGACTCTGACGCAAGGGTCAAGGACTTGCCAGAACTGATGGTCAAAGTTAGACTGCCATTGTTGACTCCACAATATTTGAGTGACAAAGTGGCAACTGAGGATATTATCAAAAACTCTCTACAGTGCAGGTTAGTACTTAAGTTAGCCAGATGGTGACAAACTTATTCAGTGGGTTCTGTGTTTACATTAAAACATTGGATCAAATTTGTAGAAAAAAGAATGGTAGTATTGTTGAAAACCAAGACAGTATATATTACATTTTCATTTGAGCTGTTTACTTTAATTAATTGTTTTGAGAAATACAAATTAGGTAGACTTCATAAAATGAAGACAGTGTATATTTCATTTAAGCTGTTTGCAGATTAACTTCATTAACTGTGGAGAAAAACAACTAGGTAGATTGTAGAAAATTAAGTCTGTGTATATTACATTTAAGTTCTACAGTTTGATTAACTGTTTCGGGGATAATTTAGGTAGGTTGTAGAAAACTAAACTAACTAATTGCATCAGAGATTGAAGTTGTACCATTTGAATAACAAAGTTAACTTGTTGTAAAGATGATGTTCTCCTAAGATTAAACTAGGATTGCCATGTGTTAATATCAGAGACCTTCTAGATGAGGCCAGAGATTACCATCTGATGCCAGAAAGGAGACTTCTCATGCAGACATTTAAGACAAGACCAAGAGGGTGTACTGATATTCCAGGATTTATTTATGCTGTGGTTAGTATCAACTGTTAGATTTGAGCTGCTAAAATCTATTCAAGTGGTTGTTGTGTTTAAAAAGCTGACATTTAAACATGATACATTTATTTTTAACCATTACAATTTACTTGGCCACAGTGTAGTGATATTTCAGTTGAAATAAAACTTGCCACTTTATTTCCAACCACTACTACCTGTAACAAATTAAACTGTTTTTCAAGACCTGGCAGTTCCTAGCACAGTCCTGGTGGTTTTTTATGGTCAGCCTACTGTTTTGAATCTCTCTTACTAATGCCAAGCATTTGCTAGATATATTGTCCTATAAAGTTTCATGATGAATATAAAAGTCTAAGTATAAAACTAGTGATCTAAACCATCACTATTACACAACTATTTCCTCTTCATCCCCAAAAAGTACCTAAGCTGCCATTATCAATTTCAAAAATTGTCCTCAACAAATCATTTTTTTTTCTTTTCCACTGTGGATTTCATTGCATTACTTGCCTAATGATGTAATTTTTTTAATGTTTTAAAATTATTACTTTTATTAATCTAGTTAAATATTTTTTAAATGGTTAAATATTAATAAGAGGTTCAACAATGTGAGTTTGCAAATTAATAGCATTTTTTAGATAGAGTTTATTATTTTTTTTTAAAACAAGTTGACACCATGCATTATTTAAAATCATTCTTAGGGAGGACTAACATCTGCAGGAGATTCTCTGAGCACAGTGGAGAGGTTTGATCCCCTGACTGGACAGTGGTCACCAGGAGAACCAATGAGCACAATGAGAAGCAGAGTTGGGGTCACTGTTCTAAAAGGTGAGAACGCTGTTGTGTAGGTTGATGAAATAGTTCACAAAATTTTTGTTTCAGATGATTGAAAAGCTTTCATTGCTTGTTTGACATATCTGCAGGTCACTTGTATTCTATTGGGGGTTATAATGGTATGACATATCTGCAGGTCACTTGTATTCTATTGGGGGTTATAATGGTATGTCATATCTCCAGGTCACTTGTATGCTATTGGGTGTTATAATGGTATGTCATATCTGCAGGTCACTTGTATGCTATTGGGGGTTATAATGGTATGTCATATCTGCAGGTCACTTGTATGCTATTGGGGGTTATAATGGTATGTCATATCTGCAGGTCACTTGTATGCTATTGGGGGTTATAATGGTATGTCATATCTGCAGGTCACTTGTATGCTATTGGGGGTTATAATGGTATGTCACATCTGCAGGTCACTTGTATGCTATTGGGGGTTACAATGGTATGCTATATCTGCAGGTCACTTATATGCTATTGGGGGTTATAATGGTATGTCATATGTGCAGGTCACTTGTATGCTATTGGGGGTTATAATGGTATGCCATATTTGCAGGTCACTTGTATGCTATTGGGGGTTATAATGGTATGTCACATCTGCAGGTCACTTGTGTGCTATTGGGGGTTATAATGGTATGTCACATCTGCAGGTCACTTGTATTCTATTGGGGGTTATAATGGTATGTCACATCTGCAGGTCACTTGTATTCTATTGGGGGTTATAATGGTATGTCACATCTGCAGGTCACTTGTATTCTATTGGGGGTTATAATGGTATGCTATATCTGCAGGTCACTTGTACTTGTATGCTATTGGGGGTTATAATGGTATGTCACATCTGCAGGTCACTTGTGTGCTATTGGGGGTTATAATGGTATGTCATATCTGCAGGTCACTTGTATGCTATTGGGGGTTATAATGGTATGTCACATCTGCAGGTCACTTGTATGCTATTGGGGGTTATAATGGTATGTCATATCTGCAGGTCACTTGTATGCTATTGGGGGTTATAATGGTATTTCATATCTGCAGGTCACTTGTATGCTATTGGGGGTTACAATGGTATGCTATATCTGCAGGTCACTTGTATGCTATTGGGGGTTATAATGGTATGGAGCGTCTGGACACTGTGGAGGTTTATGATCCTCTCTCTAAAAGATGGAGTCGTGTCTCAGCCATGAATTGTAAACGCAGGTATGATAACAAGCTTAATATTAGTCGTTTAATGGTATTTCTTATAGATTAATAAAAATCATGTAGAATAACGCTTTTAAACTAGTTCTAATATTTATAAAACTTACAATCAGTATCACCATTTTGAATGTGAATAAATAAATTACCTCCCTTGTACTATTGTAGTGCTTTAGGTGCAGTCAGTCTCAATGGTAAAGTGATTGTGTGTGGAGGGTATGACGGGGTGACTTCTTTAAGGACTTGTGAAACATATGATGCTGATACAAATACGTAAGGATCTTTTCATTATGTCAGATTGTTTTGTTTGCATTGATTTTTTTGTTTTACAGAATATAACCTTTTTAATTGGCAGATACGTTTTTAATAATCCCTAACTAGGACTGGTAAGTAGGTCACCAACCAGTTCTATGGCTCATGCAGGTTTTATTGAGCTGGTGACCTACTTACCAGCCCTATAGTTGTATGTATATTACTCTCTACTAGTTATTAAGTTAATATAATGTGCATTAAAATCTCTCAGTGAGTTTCATTACATTTTAATAAGTGATTTCATTGAGATTTAGATAATAGTTTGGTACCTTGTCGGTTATCCATAAAAGTTTAAACTTTAGTTTATGAAGCTAAATAATACTTGAAAAAACAAATTACTTTGTAGTGGATAATAGTTATTATTTCAATTGTAATGTATTTAATAACATTTCCTGGCATGAATGTACTTAATTATCAGAATTACATTTTTTCATATTTTAGAATCTGAATTTTGTTAAACACAAAATAAATTTTACAAAATTAAACAAGAATAATCTATAATATTTTTAAATTTTATGGCTGTAAAAACAAATTACTTTTGTTCATTAATTTTTTAAAATGTGATCTTAAGATTTTTTTCTGTAACCACTTTGTTTCAGACTAATCTAGTTCTACATCCTTATAATTTTTTTTATATCCACATAGGTGGTGTCCCATGCAACCCATGCATAAACATCGCAGTGCCGCTGGTTTATCAATCTTGCATGGCTGTGTAGTGGCATGTGGTGGACATGATGGGCTTTCTATTTTTGATTCTGTAAGTTGCTTTTCATAGCTATAATAAAAGATTTTTTAAAAACTTTATCAATAAAATTCAAGCATTTTATTGAAAATGAACCATAATCCAGATAGGACTTAAGTTAGTTATCATAGGTCAGATATGACAGAATTACTCTATTTCTGTGACTTTTGCATCTAAAAGGGACAGTGTGATTATATGCTCAGCACCTTTACTTTCCTTAACATAAGTCAGGTACCCATCAGAGTTATGTGGACTCAAGAACACCCTAGAGACTAGATAAATTTGATGAACTGAAGATTCAGGCCAGCAGTCTTGCATGCTACTGCCCTGCTGCACAGTCCCACTAGCTAGGGCTTAATCCAATCAAATTTTATATTATATATTACAATATACATTCTTTGCTTGAAAATACCAAAAATCTACATTGAAGCCTCCTATGTAATGAAAACTATCAAGCAATTGCTGTCTAAGAAAAAAGTTTGTTTTTCTAAGTGAAAACTTTGTTATCTGGATCTATTGCTGCTTGCAGGTTGAGACATACAACCCTTCTACTGGCGAGTGGAAACAGCTTCCTCCAATGAAATCAAAGCGCTGTCGTCTAGGCGTGGCGACACTGAACGGCAAGGTGTACGCTGTGGGTGGCTATGATGGCTGTGTGTTTCTCAAGTCAGTTGAGAGATATGACCCAGACACACAGCAATGGGAGTATGTGGCTTCAATGAATGTAAGAACAAAGATGTCTCCAAAAAACTGATAGGTTGTCTTTTTAAAATCTTACTACACATGATAAAATTCAAATGAAAATATAAATAACAAAATTGTAAGCCATTACTTATTTTAGTACTAAGAGAACATTGTCTTGAGATCAAGTGGTCTAGTGCAGCTTATTTTATCTTATTGAATAAATACTATCAGCAATCCTATAAAATTATGGTTTCATTTTTTTTTACCAAATTGTAGCTTTATTTTGAAACAAATTGTCTAACCTTTGCACTAAATTATTAATTACACTTTAAAACATATTAATGTGGACCAAATTACAATTTAATTGTTTTACCTAACTCAAAGTTAAGTGTTGTAAACCAGATTACTATTTAAACTTTGGGTCTAATTTAGATTAAAATTTGATCTATATTAGACCAAATTACAATTTTAACTTTTGGGCCTAAACTGGATACAAACTTTATCCTGCAGGTGAAGAGGAGCCGTGTAGCTGTTGCTGCAACATACGGCCGCCTGTACGCTATCGGAGGCTACGACGGTCAGACCAATCTCAACACAGTAGAGATGTTTGACCCCAATATCAACGAGTGGAAGTTTGTCACCAGCATGAGCGCTCACGAAGGTGGTGTTGGGGCGGGCGTCATCCCGATGGAATCGTTTGGAGAGGATAAATTCTCTTTCTTAAAACAGGAAAATTCTAGTTGAGTTTAAAACCAAACACTTGTTCATCTGCTTTAGGGTTATTTCGTTAAAAAAAAAGCTTTAAAAAGAATAAGAAGCAAACACATTTTTTCCTATCCTGCTTGTTTGGCCGAGTGAGTATAGTTATCTAGTCATGTTTTAATCTATTATGAATTTTGTATAGATTTTTAACATCATTGATATCTTATCTGATAGGAGTACTATGCATTGAATTATCATTGGCAGTTTCTTATTATTAATTTTTTTTTGTATTTCAGTAGTTCTTAAAAACGTTTGGTATTTCAATTTTGTTATTGGAATATTTATTTGGCAGCAACTTGTTTGACTCCATCTCACTTTGCTAGTTTTTTACATTTCTAAACTGATTGTGGTTATCCCCCTTTACCCATGTAAATTATGTAATGTATGATTTTTTTTTTTAAAGTTTGTTTTTTTGTTTCAATTGTGAGTTACTATCAAAGCATTTTTTAACACATTAGTGATAAGGTTTCATTATTCTTTATCACTAAACAAGTTGTTAATTAGGTAAAAAAAAATATGTGTTTTAAATCTTTTACTGTGATAAACTTCATAACTTGACTTGTCAATGAACTTGTGTTCTCATGACCTCTTAGTAAAACTTTAAATTTTGTGAAATTTGAGGTTTCATTGACATATAAAAACCAAATGATGTAATACTTTGAACACTGAATAGATAACCCTGCACTTGTTCATATTTGCCGTTGGTTCAGGATTGTTCTTTATAAGAGCTGACAGAGATGGCCTTACAGGCGACTAATTGTTTTGTGGTTTTGGATGGCTGAAGAAGCAATTACTATAATAAGTCTTTCATGGTTAGCATTTTATTATTTGTCTGTTTTTCTAAATAAATTAGATTTGACTTGTGGCTGTTTTAACAATTTTTTAACTCTCCATGACTAAATGAATCGCCTTAACATTGATTTCAATGCTGAAACTGGTTAAGAAAAATGTATGATTGTCCCTGAGTAATGATCATTTTAATCTTGAGTCTGCAAAAAAAAAATCTGGGAGATTTAGAATTTTTTATCAGACTGTTTCTTTTTACCAAGCTGATATTCCAGACCCCTCCTCCCCCCAGAGTTTATTTTTTAGCTCAAAACATCTCAAGGTGCAAAGTGCATCATTTAGTCATGGAGGGTCACATTCGTGTACACATGTACACAAGAATAGATCAAATGTACATACTTTATTGCTTCTCTCTTTGTTTACTTTGCTGCCTGTTTATTACCTGTTTATAATATTGCTACTAAAAAGCATTTTTAAGCATAAATCTAATTTATCTTTTGAGGAGAGTTGATACTGTTTATAGAGCAGTTGGTATGTTTTTTCTTCTCTCATCGCTGGCTTTATTTTAAGCTGTGAATTGTATGCAAAAGACAATCATACTTTTATTACTAGTTATTAGCTGAAAGAGACAGAGCATTCTTTAGTAAGGCAAGTCCCTATGTTACATTAGGAGCTGATGGTAGCAGTGTTGTCAGCTGTCTTGTGATAATAAAAAGCTCATTGGGTTCTTTCCCATCTAACTCTAGTTAGAGAACAAATGTTAAACTCTGATTGATATCTCTAATACATTACCTACAACTTAAAAAAAGAACTGTTGTTTTCTCTGCCTTGTGCTAGATAGGAAATTACCATGGAGTTAATGCCCACTAGACTGTTTTAATTAAAGATTTGAAACCTTTTGTACCTAGATAACATCATAGTAATTAGCATACACAATACCATGTAAGTGTGCTTTATTCAAAGTAGTATATATTTTTCATAGCTTTAACGTTGTGATATCAAAGTCCAGAACAAATAAACTTATTATATCAGAAGAAACATTATAATAATTATATATTTCAATGAGCCTTGTTGTATGTTTAAATATAAGAGTTAAAATAACCATTTACATTTTTTTTTATATAGTTATCTTGCAATGAGCTGAAGTTCAAAAGTTTTTTTTATAGTAATTGTAGATTACCTTATTTAACTCTGGAAACTTTAGTTTACCATATTGCCAATGGGGGGTCATTCACAAGATAAGGTTAAATCAGTTAGTGTCTTTATATCAAATGGGTTAAGGTTGGGTTATAACCTGGATAAACCACTGTAAACAGGGCATAAGCTTTGTACTAAGTGTCCACTCTTTACCCAATAGCAGCAGTTGTCTGATTGAAGATAATAGTTAATAGTGTTCAGTGGTGTAAGCACTGGTGGGTTTGTTTAGAAAAAAATTGGAGTGAAATGTTACAATTCGCCAGAGTTTTTGTTCTTGTAAAATTGTGTGCATTCAGTTTTGCAGTGTTGTTTTTTATAAATCAAAAGTTGTTTTTCTCTTACTTTGTGATTTTATTTAACCTGGTTTCTCTCCCTTGAAGAGAAATAATGAAAAATAAATTTTTGTTTTGGAAAAATGTTTAGAGTTGTTAGTTTTCTAAAAAAAAAAAGTTATTTAAGTAGGTAGAGACTTGACTAGACCCCTAGAGTACAATGTAGTAGCATAGACCCATCGACTCTACTAGCTGTGTTCATGCTTCCATACCTTGTAGATCAGTCAGAGGTTCTCAACTACGGTACATTCCATTGACTACTACTTTGAAAGAAAAAAACTATTTCCATTTCTAGAAAATGAGCATTGGGGCATGTTTTTTTTTTTTTTTTAAATAATTTAAGCCCTACCTAACTTGAAGTCAGTGACCCTCTGATTAAGAACCGCTGACGTTGAAACCTGGAAGCAAAGGGAACTATGGGTAAGTGGCAACAGAGGCCGAACGGACACACCCAACGATTGTCTAGGGGTAAGAGGGAGGAGTTTGTTCCTAGACCAAAATAGGAGGATAGAAGTCAATAATTACATTTCCGTGGTCATAAACCCACCCCGTCTCTTTAGTACACCAACTAAGCTACTATACTCAGACTATACTGACTTCAGAGATAAAAAGTAAAAAGTGGAAATTATAATTACACTACGTGACCAATGAGAATATGCCACGTTTTTTTTTCTCCATGCGCAGCCGTGTACATTCATTATTTGCAGTTATTATACAGACAATAAAACCCCATGCAATTAATTAGCAAGATTGAATTGAGGGTGTGTGCGAGATTTTGCTGGCTCTAAGGCCAGTTTCAATACCCCAGCCTCGTTTTGAGTCCTGTAAAAAAAAATCGATAGAGAGCGAATCAAGAGGGAGAGCACTCGAAGGCGTCTGCCGCTCGTGTGTGGGAGCTAATGGCTCAACAATGCCCGCTCCAGCATTCAGTCCTGTGACATCGGTCTCTCCAGCCTTTTGTTGTTTAGTTAACCTCATTAAAAAATCATGATCGGGAATTTTTTGTTGTTGTGGCGTTTGGTCGCTACCCTTTCAACTTTGGTGATTTGATGAACTCTGACCTCAGGTTTTTGCATGGATTTTTAAAAAAAATTAGCATTTTCATTCAGGGCTATTTAAAAGTAAAGACACGAAATCTCGACAATAACCTCATCCCCTTCCCTCCTTCCACCACATCTCTTTAAGTAGGCTAATATAGAAGAAAAAGGAAATTAAAATGAATTATTTTTCTTAATTCGGGACATTGTTGTTGTTGTTATTTATATAGGATATGACTAGTCCATTCTGTTAGGATAATATAGGAGAAAGTGTTCTATTTAGTGGGTGATGTATTTAAGATTAGTCCGTGTACAGAGTGATTTATTAATACCAGTTAATGTATGGCGAGTTGAATTCTTTTGTCCGATTAAGTCACTTTAAGTGTAGGAGATTAAGATTAATTGCGTTTTTAATTTTCCACGCTACGTCAACATTTTAAAAAATTAACCTTCGTGACTTATATGTCACACTTCCACTACCCAATCTGAATATAAACTCGCTGATGTGTTAAAAAAAAACTATAAAGATATCCCAACTGGTATGCCATAAACTCACAACCACTCCAGTGTCAAACGGCTTGCCATAACTCGCCATTTGAAGCAATCGTTCACTGGACGAGCCCAAATTTCACTTGATGAGATGAAGTTGTGCTATCCTTCCTTTGTCAAGGGCACATTACAGAGAACAGGAAGACAAAAAAAAAATCTTTCATTAATAACGTCGGCATTCTTTTTTTTTATTCTACACCTATGATTCATCACAAATTACTATTTTTATACATACACAAACTTGCGTGATTAAACAATTGTTTTTGTTTTAAATGTTTTTTTAGACAATCAACCACAGTTTAAGTAAAACAAAATATAAAGCTATTAATTATCTTTAAGTGTTTATAATATTTTTTTATAATATTTCATTAAATGTAAGGCATAGATTAAAGTGTAAAATACTTAAAAGTTATAAGAGATAGCCTATCTAAACAAAAAATGCCTATATGGATCTCCAACAATCGAATCTAGCCTTTAAAATGGTGTGTGTGGGGAGGGGGGCAATCATATATGTGTGGATATATATATATATATATATATATATATATATATATATATATATATATATATATATATATGAGAATATGCCTACATGCTCCTAATAAAATCTGTCAATAGCTATGTAAACGAAAACAACACCACACACAATCCACAATAACGTGAAACTATAAATACGCTAAAGATATGTTAGTTTTGGTGATATGCCTACAATTTTCACCACATATTTTTCTTCGTTTCCAACGTGAGTACAGATCTAGATGTCTATTACGATCTCGAAACGTTTTCTATCTCTAATTCTCCCTAACCTACCCGCCTTTCTCCCCCCCCCCCAGGGGTTGAAACCGTGATACCAGGGAGCTCTGAAATTTCTAAAGGTCAACTTCAGCTAACTGAAGGTCGCTAATCACATTCGTAGTCAAAACCCAGAAAAGTAAACTCAACCTAGAAGAATCTAATTTTAAACTGTGTGTCTAGTTGCTGATGGTGTGAGCTGGGTTGGTGATGGGTTGGTGCGGGTTGCAGAGGCGTAGCGACCCTTCCCGGCGCCCGGGGACATACTTTCAATTTGGCGCCCCCATCGGGAGCAAATTTTCGATTTGCACCCCCCCTCGAACTTTCGATTTGCACCCCCCCCCCCCTCGAACTTTTCATTTGCACCCCCACCCTCAAACTTTCGATTTGCACCCCCCCCCTCGAACTTTTCATTTGCACCCCCCCCCTCAAACTTTCAATTTGGCGCCCCCCTAAGGTCGGCGCCCGGGGACATATGTCCCCCCCCCCCTCGCTACGCCTCTGGCGGGTTGTATCACCGGGTTGTTGACGGAATGGTTTGTATAGGCGGATATAAAGAAATGTCAGATAAAAAAAATGTCCCTGTTATTTCTATGTATTAGGCTCTAGTCTTGCAGGAGGCGTAGGGTTGCATCAACTGCAGAATAGATTTTCAATAGAGTTTCTTTTAGTGAGGAAAAGGCATATGTGAAAAACAAAATTTAAGTCTGTACTTGTACTATCGTTTAAAGTATCGGTCGCAGATCTTACTCGTTAGGTCGAACCAGGATCTACCAGCTATCATAGCTCGTCTCATCTAGACCCATAACCCACCCGTTATGATGACCTATCTGTGTAAAGACCTATAATCCGACCGCTATGATGGCTCTTAAAGACCCATAACCCACCCGTTATGATGACCTATCTGTGTAAAGACCTATAATCCGACCGCTATGATGGCTCTTAAAGACACATAACCCACCCGCTATGATGGCTCGTAAAGACCCATAACCCACCCGCTATGATGGCTCTTAAAGACACATAACCCACCCGCTATGATGGCTCGTAAAAACCCATAACCCACCAGCTATGATGGCTTATAAAGACCCATAACCCACCCACTATGATGGCTCGTAAAAACCCATAACCCACCCGCTATGATGGCCCGTAAAGACCCATAACCCACCCACTATGATGGCTCGTAAAAACCCATAACCCACCCGCTATGATGACTGTGTAAAGACCCATAACCCACCCGCTATGATGGCTCTTAAAGACACATAACCCACCCGCTATGACGGCTCGTAAAGACCCATAACCCACTCGCTATGATGGCTCATAAAGACCCCTTAACCCACACGCAACGATGGTTGTCTGTGTAAAGACTCATAACCCACCCGCTATGATGGCTCGTGAAGACCCATAATCCATCTGGTGCTTAAAATAACGTATAACGTAGAGCCATGGGCGGTTATATATCCCTCTATTGATGATCAATGTATGCTCTACTTTATCTACCTCAAATAAAGATGAGCCTTCTTATTTTTATCAACTTGAAATATCAGATTAATCCTGAAATACCAGATTTATCCAAAGTTGTGAATTTTCATGGTTAATTTCAATTGGATCACCATTATAAAAACATAATTAATTCCATTACAGTTCAGTGATATTAAAAAATCACTAAATGCACCTGCAATTTTTTTTGTATTCGTTTGAAGCTACCCCCAACAACTTCTATTAAATTAAAGCAACATTAACGGATCTTTGGGTTAAATCTTTAAAGCCCAGCTTAAAAATTTCTTAAGATATTATGGTTGTGCTTTGCGGGGAATAGTGTCCGTTCCTATGGTTACAGTTACAGTTTCGTTTGTTACGTAGGAAATGTCTAGCTCAGGGGTCGGCAACCTTTTGGGACGGAAGAGCCAAAAGTTACAATTTACCAAATATCCCAGTTTTTAAAGAGCCACTAACATTTTTATTTCAATATTATATTTGATTAGGATTATATATAATATATATATATATATATATATATATATATATATATATATATATATATATATATATATATATATATATATATATATATATATATATATATATATATATATATATCATTAATTATTAAAAAAAATATTCAAATAAAAACATACACATGTTTCGCAGAAAAAGTATTAACGTATTTTATCTAGCTCTGCTAGAATAATAAAATCAGTAACCAAAGTATATAACTTTATTACTATTTACAACCTGACTCATAACTGGTTTTCAGTTTCAAGCACGCCTCTAGATATTTATTTGTTAGTTGGCTTCTATACTTTGTATTATATTCATGCAAGAAAACGCATGCCAACTTCTTTACTTTACTATAGCATCCTGCAAGACTATTCCATGTTCACATAGTAGGGCCTCAACTCGCGGCATTTCTTTTAGAGCTGTCCAGTTGTACAGTGTAACGTGCATGTTCTACTGGACCCCCAAATCTTCTAACTTGCTCTTGAGATCTGCGAACTTACCGTTCTACAAATGTTTGTTTTTCAAATCCAGCAATTTAATTTGAAGCGAACCAGCATCAATTCCAAACGGCTCAAAGTTAATCTCATTTGTTTTTGTGTTGAGAGAATCTACTATGAACGTCATAGTACCTGCATCTGTTTTGAATTGCTCAAATCTCTCAGTGATCCCATCCTTCATTTTATTTATTGTAATGCTGAAGGA